AATAATCAGAAAAGAAATAAAATTCGTATAATGTTCCATGATGAAAATGATGACTGAGAATGATGAATATTTTATTTTGCAAATCTCAATAAAAATAATCCAAATGTCTATTTAGTAACATATGGGCTGCTCATGTTTATATAGCCATTACGATCTGACGATTTTTCAATGAATTTCACAACAGTTCAATAATAATCGAATCAAATATTTCAAAAATCATGAATAGAACCGATTCTAGGGTGGTTATTTTACCAGAATCTTCTTCGTGGCAGCGATCGGACAATTACATCTCGAGTGGCGAAAGATACAATTTTGGAAATGCTTTTAAAAAATGTTCAAGATATTTTCATCGTTTATTTCGAATGAATCATATGGATTTTGAATTTGCTTTCTGGCAAATGGTTTATCTATTTTCCAATCCTAAAAAAGTGTATGTATTTTGAGTTATTATTTTTCAATTCGTTTATAATTGTTTATTTTAATAGTTATCGAAATTTTCAGTATCGGAAACAAACCAAGAATCAATTTGCTCGTGATGATCCTGCCTTTTTAGTATTGCTTTCCATTTGGTTTATAATATCAGCTTCGGGTCTTTCATTGGTTCTTCATCTTCATTTTGTTGGTTTTATCAAATTTTTATTATGGGTTGTACTTGTCGATTGTATCCTCATCGGCATGATTGTCGCCTCAATTTTTTGGTTTTTAACGAATTTTTTTCTCAAAAAATCTAATCAAGATGTAGAATGGGGTTATACATTTGACGTTCATCTCAATGCTTTTTTCCCACCATTATTGATTCTTCATGTATTTCAATTGTTTTTTTACAATGGTAAAATTTAATCATTTTTTTCAGCTTATAATTAATTATTTCTTTATAATCTGAATAGTTTTCATCAACTCCGATTCCTTTTTGGCACGATTATTCGGCAACACCCTGTTCATGATTGCTGTCACCTATTATTGTTATATAACATTTTTAGGTTATAGTTCATTATCATTTTTAAAACATACTGAACGAATACTTTATCCACTTATACCATTGTTTTTGTTTTATTTTATGGCAACATTGGCCGGTTATAATATTTGCCGCAACATAATGGATTTCTATCATTATCGAGTTTATTAAAAAAAATTGTGATTTATATTGTTTTATATTTTGTTGTAAAATTTTTCTTAATAATTATTTTTATTACAATGGCAATATATTTTTCATATATGAAAATAAATAAATAAAATTGTATGAATAACAAAAAAAAATCAATCAATCAATGTGTTTGTGCAATTTCTGAAAAAATATTCAAAACATGATCAATGGTAAACATAAGGTTTATATTGGATTCTGGATAACATTTTTTAATCATTTCTTGTATGTATTTGTATTGGGTGATAAATTCTTCTTGCATTGAACGCCAGATAACCTTAATAATTATAACGAAAAATAGAAATGAATAGGTAAAACTAATTATCAATCAAATGCTTACCTGAATTAATGTACTTTCCGGATCGGATACATGTTTTTCCACACGACGATACATTTCTTCTAGTCCCTTTTTAATATCTTTTAGATTGCATTCTTTTATGACTCTACGAAGTTCTTGTTTACTAAACGCCAATTGATAACCGATTTCTTCTTCTTTGATGCCTTGTTTAACTTTTTGTTGAACACCTTCAAAGAATTTATTCAATTTTTCTAAGGGGCGACGAAAATTAATATTTACATATTCTTTCAATGCATTATTATAATAATCTTTTGCAACTTTTTTTTCATTGTTCAAACAAGCAATCTTCAATGATGATAACATTATCTGTAGGTAATGATAATTTTCAATCTCAATTATCTGTGAAGGTGTTTTATAAATTCGTTGATGTTCTTTGGCAATTCTTGAAATCGAAACAAATATCTTTTCCAACAAAATACCATACCAACGATCAATATCGGTACGACGTTGACCATATTTGATAATGTTCTCAGTTTGTTTGGCAAAGTTTTCGAAACGTTTAACAAACGAAAGGACACCAATTTTAGTACGTTTCGGATCTTTAGCCTCTTCTATCTCAGTTTGTATGGATAGCATATAACGATCAAAATTACGTTTGACCTGAATTAAAATATTTCCATAAGCTTTTGAAAGGAATGAACCGGCATCTTGAGCGTTAAGAACATGACTAGTCAAACGAACAAGAAAATATATGGAATAAAGTCCATCAATTTTGTCATAATGAGATATAAAACTGATGAATTCATTTTCGAACGATTTGAATAATTCAGCTAGAATACTGCGAAGTTTATCCTGTTTTTTCGATTGCATTGATTGCTCAGAAACATTTGAACTGTGATTTGAAACATCTGTCTCACTGGGGCTACTTTTATTAGTCATAGTGGGCGTTGAAGGTATTGATATATTCTGATTGTCTAGGTCAAAAAACTTATTGCAAAAATGTTGTTCGGCAAGACAAACTGTATCAATACTTTTCAACAGGAATTCAATGTATGAATCAAATTCTTCCCATTCTGAAAGGCTAACTTCAGAACTACGTAAAGAAACATTATCGATTGTTTCATTGTTAGTTGAGGATGCATATGATCCACGTCGAAAATCAGTTTTTAGTTCACTTATTGCAAGACTTTTGCGTTTACCGATTTCGCTGGATTGACTGATTCCTTTGGAATTATATACATAACGATCACGAAGATAATCAAAAAAATATGAAAATTCTTTTTCATAGGCAATACTGAAAGCATTAGCATAGAAAACAATAAGAGATGTATAGGATTTTGGATCATAGACACGAATCCATTTGACGAATTCACTATATCCGAGTAATTGATTATGAACTTTTGAATGTTCAGTCAATACTTGTTCATTACCTCTCATCATATTGCTTCGTTCGAGATATTCGTTTGATAAATTTGTCATCATTCTTCGAAATTGATCCATTAATTTTTCCAAAAATTTCGATGCAACACTAGTCAGATATCTTTTTTGCTCAGCGACGCCTTGTAGTGAATTTAATGTTGGTGAAATTTCAAATTGAAGTGCGTCCTGCAAACGTAAAGAGGCCTCAACACATCTGCCATAACTGGCGATGGAATTGAAATCATATTCTAGCAGTAAATATTCATCTTCTTTTGCCAAATCTAATTTGGTCACCAATTGTCCAAATTCATCAAGCAAACGTTTATTGTTATCATTATAAGTCTGTACGATCGCTTCTTTCTTTTCGACTTTTTGAACAATATCACGAACATTTTTGAGCAAACTTTCATAGTAAATAATTTTATTCTCCAATCGAAAAGTTTCATCAATCGTATTCTGAAGAATGGTCATCAAGTCCAAGACACGTTGTTCGGATGCCATAATATCTTGAATATTCAATGAATCCATATTGGCTAAATCACGAGATAATTTTTCAGTCAATGCTTCAGCATTGTTGATAGGATTTTCTACTTCTAACTGGAAAAGTCTTTCAAGATCGGCTTCTTCACGATTAGTAAGAGCCTGATATGAATCATTCTCCTGGTTCCAATCACCATTCTCAAGTTTTTCATTTGTAGAAATCTCTTCTAATTGATTGAATACTAATGCAGATGCCGGTTGACCATTAGAAACATTGATAAATTTGATTGAAAAATAAGCTGGCACTTGATTAACGATCTGTTTGATCGATTGTAGAAATGAGGATTTTTCATTCTGACTATTGGCGATCCATCGAAATTCTTGTTTGTTTTTGAAACGAATCTCGAATTCTGGCTCATTGCTATCATGTTTTGAATCGATCTGTTGTATTTCATCAAATTGCCAGATTTTATCCTTTTTATATGATTGATCAGTTTTTTTAATCAAATATAAAAAATGTGTATTGATATTGTTGACAACGATGGCTAAAAAATAATTTGATTTACTTTTTTTCTTATTCGGTTTGTTAACAATAATCAAATATTTTAATCGTTCACTATTCAGTTGAAACAATTCTCTATTGATGATTTGTTGCTGTTGTATCGATGTCATTTTTTTCAGTTTGAAACTTTTTAAGAAATATAATTCTTTTACAATCAATTAATAAATCATAAGAAATTCAATACCGAATGCCGGATTCTTGTTGAATAAGCGATAATGTTTACAGATGGATACTCCTATACGACAACAATGCTCATTACTGACATCTAATGCTTACATCATCAACTATTTTTTTTTGAGAATTATACAACAATCAATTTCATTTCCTAAATAGAAAATGCATTTGTCTGAGATGCGTGAGAAAAGGAAAATTTGTTAATCCTAGCCTTTATCTATTGCATTCATTATTATTATCATCATCGAACATAATTAATGTTTTAGGACAAAACATTTGTCTTCATTTCATTCAACTGTCAAAATGAATAAGATGGATTGTCATATAAAATGTCGGTCCCGTTAAGTTTTTATTTGTTTTTAAAATGTTTTAGGATAGTAATTTACAATTGCCAATGTATGTAATTTAAAACGATTATTACTGAATAAAACGTTGTTGCCATCACGTGTTTGCCAGATGACAACAAAGTTTTTTTGAATTTGCTTACAGTATTTCCTATATTTGGTCAACCATAGAAAAATCGGTGACATTTGTCGTATTTTTGCCTGTTGTCCAGTTGTTTTTTTTTCATCCAAGATTGATTCTAATGACAAATCCATATTGTCATTATTATGGTGTATTATGTTTAGCTTATGACCACCACTACAACAACTCAAATGATAAATGCCAAAGATTTGGTTGAAATTCAACAGCCGAGCCCGATAGAGTTTGGGCAGGGTCATTGTTTGTGTATACAGTGTACTTTTATGAACGCAAAGATGGTTCATGATCATGAAATGTCCACCACCACACCACAACAACGGTTCTGAAGTTACACACTCTGGGGTGCTAAAAACATGGAGAGAAGCAAAGCTCATGAACCCGATATCTCTTGTCCTTCAACTATGAACGAGCTAAGCGTAGAACTCGCGCAACGATTGGTCGTTGAGGAAATTTTTTTTTCTTCAATTTCCATTCAACTGTTTATTGTTCCAATTCATCTTTGTGTATACTATCCGAATGTTTTACTGAAAAATTTGATTTTTGTTTTTGTTTGTTTGTTGTACTGTGTTTAATTGATAATTATTTGGTGCCTAATGAACCTTTGAAATCTTCAGCAGAAAATATAAGAAAGTGAATAAAAATGTTTGATAATTGGTGCCGTTCATGTACGGGTGAATCGTTGGAAATATCCCAAGAGATGGCCGAACAGAATGGCGGTGATTCAACCTTAATTGACAATGACACCGATGTTTCTACGGCCATGATGTTACATTCACAACAATCCACCAATGATGATTCGATCATTGTCGAATTCAATAATGAAAAATTTGATTCAAATAATCATGGAATGATAAAGAAGAAAAAAACAACGAAAAATGATAATTTACAGATAAAAATGAAACAGGCTAAACTTGGCCAAGAGAAAAAACAATATGCAAGGTAAGATACGAAAATAAAATTCAGCAATGCATCAGTGCCTCGTCTTTGTTTTGTTTATACTTGACTTTGTTTCAACAATTTCGCTGTCATTCGATTCGATTCGATTTATTTAATTTCTTTGATTTAATATCCCAAATTAATTTCTATATTTATCAAGTTTTTTTTTGTAAACACCGAAAATGACTAGATAATGAATTTTGTTTTGTTCAGTCAAAAAAAAACAAAAGGATTTTCAATTAACATTTCTTATCTGTCCAAGGCAAGAATTATTGTGTAAATATATGAGATTCAACGGCCTCGTACTTTTTTTTAGAAATCTTCAATCATTATTGTCGCTTGTCAAAATAGAGAAAATAAAGACCTCAATAATGTGCTGCTGGATGTGATCTTCATTTCTGGTACGAATGGCACAATAATAAATAAGTTGAACATGATCAAGAAATATAATAGTAGTTCATTGAATTTCATTTTGTCATTTTTTTTCATAACCTTAATTATTTTCATTAAATGTTATTTTGTTATGAAAAAAATATAGATTAGAAAAATAGACCTGTGAAATATGCGTAATATATTTTATTTACTATCATGTGTCTAAATAGTTCTATTCCGATCCATTCATGTATATCCGGTATTTGGCTATATTACGGTATAAATAGTGGCAATGTTTACCATCATCATCATCATGAAGATAGATATGATTTTGGCAAATTATTCATTTAAAATTATAATTGATGTTTGATATTTTTCTTATGATAAAATTTAATATGATCAATTGATCATCATTCATAACTAATATTGAAAATTTTATAATGTCATATCTATCCATAACGTTTGTTGATACCGTAATCTACCTGACATATGCCGAAGGCCATATATTTTTTTTTGTGTATGTTTGAGTGTAGTGAAATGAAACAAGTATGTTGAAAAAAAAACGGCAAATGATTGCTACACATTTCATTCACAACAAATATAACCAAAAATGTATGAACAGAAAAAATGAACGGAAAAATGGAATAAAATTTTTTTAGGAGAGAGAGATAAAGTATTAAAATTAAAATGACATATACGTTAGGGAAAGGGAAGCCATTTTTTATTTCTTCTCAAATAACAATGTAATTACTTGAATGAAGTTAGTTTTTTTGTTGTTGTTATTGTGTGGTTAAATAATTCACAAGCATTTGTGTTAACGATTTAAGTGTTTTAGCCAATTTTTTTAGATCATTTTTCGTTGTTTTTTTTCAAATGTCAATAATGATGATAAAAATGATGGCAATGATAATCAGATAAAATAGACTGAAATTTTTTTGTCACCATGTTCAATTCCAACAAATCATAAAAATCTATTAGTTTGATTTTTGGATATCGAATAATGTCGTCAAAATTATTTTCATCGAATCAAAAACATGAATCGAATAATATCAATTATGATAATAATAGTCATCATCATCATCATCATCATCAACATCGTCATAGTAATCGTAATCAAAGATCAAGTGCTTCCAGTGAAACATCATTAATATCAGCAATAACTAATTGTTCATCATCAGATAATACTGGTTATCATAATCGTATTTACAATGATAATCAACGACAATCGAATGGTCATCATTATCAATTATCGGATGATCATAATGGTTATCAAAATGATCATAATTATCATTCATCGCATCATCATCATCATCATCAACAACATCATAATGTTCATAAAAATGAAAACCATAATAACAATATCAATAATAATGATAATAATGAAACAACAAAAAACAGCAATAAAATTGATATGATGCTTACACGTTCTATTTCGACAATAATTCTTTCACAATCAGCCAGTAAAAATTCCGTTTATCTGCCGAAAAATTCCAAGTCTGTTATGAATTTTTTGTCTAATCATAATTATATTGAATCATGATCATAATACTATTAATGATAATAATAGATAGATAGATAAAGTCAAAACTAAAATAAAAACTAAACTAAACTAAAAAAAAAATCATATATAGATTAGCTTTTCCAAGAATAACTTGAAAATGAATTTATTGTTTTTGTTATTATCGTTATTATTATCATTCAAATTCAATATTTGAACCAAAAAAAATAAAAATAAAACCGAAAAAAATAAAACGAACAAACTCAAATCATTAAAATGCAACAGAAAACAATAGATATTAAATTCATATTTTCATTTCCTTTTTTTTCTGGTATACAGGACGGCTGCATTCATTGTAACCAGCTCAATTTATGGCCAATTATTGGTTGTCATATGCATCGCATTATTCACCGCCAAAATTGTTTCACCAGTTCTTCCATTATGGTATTTTGAGGTATGTCGGTCTGTCATTTTTTTTCTCCTTTTATGAATAAAAAAAATTGATTTGTCTTGCTATATGATTCATATATAAAGACACAACTAACATTGATTTCAGGTTTCTTTTCGTTACATCATCATTTTTCTTTGCATCTAATTGAATTCTATACTATTTTATTGTGAATAAAGTAAAAAAGAATTGGTCGTTAGAACAAAAGAAAAATATGAGAAATTCTTACCGTCATTAAAGAAAGAAAAAAAACGGATTCTTAAAACGGACAAAAAAGAAACTAATAATAACGGCTACAATTGACAATAACACACAATAGAATAGAATGTGTAGTAGTCAAAGGACTCAAATTGGTGTAGAAATTCTCAAGAGATTTTTTTTCATTCTTTTTTTACAAATATTATCCTTCATCATTTTTTTCTTTGTTTTGCTGTTCCGTTCTATCTACAGAACTTTAATTTGCTAATGTTAATTAGCAGTATTTCGTTACGTTATGTTCATCACCATCATCATCATCATTAAAAGGATGTGTGTGTGTGTATGCCTGGTTGCCTAACTGAATCTAGTCTGCATGCATGGCACACACACACTTAGACGAAAACTCATAACCATATACCGAAACACTATTTTCAAATTATCATCATTCTTCGAAACAAAACAAAAAAAAAATTCTGTCTTGATTCAAAAGAATTTATCTTTCTCAATTAATTTTTTTTTTCTTCTTCGTTTTCTAACCATTGCTTAGGCATTCTACTTATATCTGTACGCGTTTAGCCTATTGTTCCTGTTTTACGTTTATATCTATTTGCTCAATGATGTTCCTAAATTGGATACTTTTCGTACGTATATTATTATTATTTTCTTATTATAATACAATACACAATATGGACAAAATTAATACCATATATAAAGTGATTCACTTGATTAACTTCCTGTTTTGGTCTTTTTTTCCGTTTTGTTTTTTATCTATTTCTTTTCTTTTATTTCTCTTCGGTTGGCTGTCATCATCATTGATAAAATGAATAGACATCAAACACTATGAAGGAAAAAATCATAAAATCGGTGAAACCGATCGTTCCCATGCATCGATTTTTCTTCGTATCGGAAGCATTGTATTTGGTCTTGGCGTTATGATTTATAATGGACTTGAATTCGGTGCATATTTTGAAATATCACCCGATTCTTCTTGCCATTCGATTTTATTAGGTAAGTTAAAAAAAATATATGTGAAAACAAAAAAAAATGAAATTCAATGACATTATCTATCATCATTGAGAAAAAGAATTTTGATTGAAAAAAATGAAAACCGGAAATTCAATTTTCCATTCCAAATTTGTTAACATGTTTTTTTCAAACATTATAAATGAATAGGAGTGAATCCAATCCTACAGGCAGCTTTTACATTTTCACAAATGTATTTTATATTCACATATTCGCGTTTGATGATTAATAAATTCAAATTGATTGCCCGCATCGGTCTAATGCATTTGGTTGCTACAAATATATGTGTTTGGATTCGTACGTTAGGCAAAGAAGCATTACATGTATGTATCCATTTATTCTTGAAAAAAATTTTCCTCTCACCAATTTCTATCGAATTCTTTCTCTTTCTTACCATAGGAATTAAAAAGTAATTCATCAAATGTTTTTACCAAACCTGATTCATCATTATTTTTGAATGATTATGCAGCAAATACGAAATCAAACGTTATGTCGTCAAGTGTTGGTAATAATACAATCAATCAAATTAGCCATACAATCAATTCTACATATTTTCAATGCCAAAATGAAAATGTTATGGGTTCGATTCTATTGAATGCAAGTCCTTATCTGTATCCGTTCATCGTTGAATATTCGTTAATTGCGGCTGCTTTTCTTTATATAATGTGGTCATCGATCGGCAAGAAATTTATGTTGTCATATGAAGCCGATATGACTGATTCATCAACATCATGTCAACATCATCATCATCATCATCATTCACATCAACATCATCATCATAATCAAATGCAAATAGACGATTTAAGTTCATCATCTCGAACATCTAGCTATCAGAATCTATCCGCATTATATAGCTGTCTTGGATCAAGTAAAGGTGTGTTATCTTAATTAAAAACCTAAATTATATTTTCATTTTATTTCATTGAAACTTGTACGAACCAACACACAAGGCAAACATCAATTATATCAATGAGAAAAACAAATCTATCATTGATTTAGCTTTTGATTGGTCATTACACTTCATCCACTTCAAAAAAAAGTGTTTTGAATTGCAATTATATTATTAGTATTATAGCTTTTTGTTTTATCTGTTATCATTATGAAATTCAATGTTTGCTATCATTATGGTCGTTGTTATTATCAGAAAAAAAATAGAAACGATTAATTTCACACTCCTTCATAATGTTGGTGTGTGTATGGTTGTGACATTTATTACATTGTTGTTTGACATTATTGTTTGTTTGTTGTTTAATATATGAAGAAAAAACAATGATAGATATAATATTTGTATACAATGAAATTATCGATTAATTGGCTTTCTTCACCGAAATGTTTGATTCACTCTTATGTTTTACCTAAAAGATTTTCCTTTTCTTTCTTGTCTATATTGGTACAACCTTCGATATCATTTTAACATCCATTCTACAAAAAAAAACAAATTAATAATTGCCATGTTACAGACGAAGAAATTTGTTTCAGAACTTTGTTCATCAAGGACAACAATATATGAAAGCAACATCGAAAACGAAAAAAAATTGATAGGAATAAGTTTGTGTTTCGGGATTTTCGTCTCATGTTCTTAAACAATCTTTTCTTTTTATTTTATTTTTTATTTTTTACTTTGTTTGTTTTTCCCCGTTTATAAACAGTTTTTTTTGTTCCATTCTATTTTTTTTCTTGCCCAAAGTCACTTTTTTTCTATTATTAATATGAAAAGTTCCATTATTTTTCTATGTGGCAATATTATTATTATTATAGAATATAAAACTCATGTTTTGTACATGACACGAAGACAAATCACTCTATTCCAAAAAAAATTATCCATCCAATGTGATATAATAATAATAATACTGGAATAAAAACGACCCTATTGCATGTTCCAAGTAGCAAAAGAGAGAGAGAAAAAAACTATTCTTTAAAAAAAATTACACACACTCATATAGACATGCACGCAAATTCTTACAAGAAATTTTTTTCGACCTTACACTTTTTTTTAAAAAAACGAATGATAAAGGGGACGAAATAAAAAGTCAGTGAAAATTATTTGCTGATGATTTTCGTTTTTTCTTGCATTTGGGCATTTGCTAACGTTATTTCTGATCGTTTCATCGGTTGAATGCATTTATCCGGAATCTTTTTTTTTGCTTAAATATATGCACATGATTCTGATACCTGACATTTGTAATGTATGTATGTATGGAATCCACTCTCAACCAACTTCCCCCTATTCTTTCAGATGAATGGGAAAATAAAACTAAAAATATGAGAGAAAAGAGAAAAAAATGTCATTTGATGCATTGTCTTGTCATAATTTTCTTCGTTTTTTTATATATGTATTTTATTTTGCGAATTCTTGATTTTTTTTTGTCATATAATATTCGTGTTACATTATACATACACATAGAAAAAGATAGACATGATGTCAAAAAAGATTGGCTATTTGCTTGTTTAGCATTTATTTTTGACACATATTTTATTATTATTATTATTATATTCGTTTTTTATGTATTGATGAAAATGTGTACACCATCTTCAGAATGCATCCTTGTATGGTGTATTGTATTAACAACAGCGAATAGAAAAAAAAACATCAAATATCGACCAACGAAATTAAGAAAAAAAATATTGCCACCCGCAATACATTGTGAATTAGCCATTTTTTTCTTCACAATAATAATTTCCAATTCCATAGTGTAAAAAAAATTGAAATGTTTCTTCACCATTTTTATCCATCAAATCATTATGTCTTCTCTTTATTTCTCAATTTATTTTTTACTTTTTAAACTAATGATTCTTGTTTTTTTTCTCATAGGGTTATTCACTGGCTTTTTGTTTCTGGGTAAGTGATGATAATAATCTTCTTATCATTATTATTAAATTTTTTTTATATGAATGAAACTTGTCTTTGAACACAAAAAAAATATTTGATATAATTTGATCATTTTTATATTTGTGAACTACATTGACATTTAGAATATCAAAAAAAAGTGTGAAGATGTTATTATTTATTAAGTTTTCAATGGAATTTATTTATTTCATTCGCAAATTTTTTTTCCTGCTCTTCTTTTCATTTTTTATTATTATGATGAGAATAATAATCACATGATGTTGAATATCGATTTTTTCTTCTTTCACTGTAGCCATTTCAGTAACTTCGCTCATCATATTTTTTGTATTGGTACATCATCCAAATTATAACCTGATGGCATCATTGTTGAGCGATATTTCACATTCGATTCTTTTGATCCTAAGTAGCTTTGCTATTTTGATTGGCTTTTTCAAGATGCGTAATTTAAAATTCTTGCCTGGTAAGTATATTCTCGTCTCAATTTTTTTTTCTCACTGTTGTTGTTCAGTTGAAATATGATGTAACATTCGGTGTCGTATGCTTATTATGACTGAATGAATAAAAAAGATGATGAACGGAATGTTGTCGACTCTTTTATTTATTATTATGTTAATTTTTTTTTCGTTTCTGACATTTTAATTTGAATGCAATGGCGACAACAACAACAAAAATGACAAAATAATAAAATGGCAATATAAAGCAATGAGAGATACGGCTGATGGAGGTTTACGTGACTTGCTGTTAAGAATCGCTGCATTTGGCCTTTATGCCTATTCACTATTCGGAGTAATTGCCAGTTCATTTGAATTGAACTCACTTCAACACATTACCGTTTTGATAACAAGCATTTTGACTATCGTTCAGGTAAATCACATATACATAAACAATTTTTTATACTGAAACTCCTCTTTTTCTTTTTTCTTTTTATTTTATTTGAAACTAATTTCCAACTAAAACTTGGTGATTTGTAATGATAAAAATAAATAGGTGACATTACAAACTTTGTTCATTTCCGATGTTGTTTGCCGAAAACGTACTGGCCAAAAGCAATCTGGCCGACAACTAATTACATTTTTGCTCATTACCAATCTAACGCTTTGGATCGTTTATACATTTGTTATGCAAAAGTTGGAAGCATCACCAATTCAATTGAAAGTATTTGGATTCACAACATGGACACTTATTTTACGTATTACATTGCCGCTCTCAATATTTTATCGATTCCATTCTGCTATTACATTTGCTGAAGTATGGAAAAATTCATACAAAACTTCCACATCATCATCAGTTTCATCATCATCTACAAATTGAAAAAAACGAAGATCTCAAAAAAAAATTCGATTCAAAATCCGATGAGGATAGAAGAAAATGAATAATAATATAAATAAAACTTTTTTTTTGTATTGATTATTATATTACCTACCTATTCTATTGGATATCACATCAAGTATACATACAAAGATCAAATTATACCACCAACAACAACAAAAAAAAACACAACCGATCTACAAACACACACACACATATATTCATTTATTTGGTCTCATTTCATTCAATTATTAAACCAAACCATATATAACGAAAAAAAAGTACATACCATGAATCAATTAATTTTTTCCCCTTTTTTCACTCACATTATAATCTATCACACATAATTTTTCTTTTCTTCATATAACAACATTCTTGTTCACAATATTGATTATATTGAATGAGCTCGATTTTTTTCTTTGAATAAACATTATAATGTAATCATTGTCGATCCAAATTGATTGCATATCTGTTTCTTTTTCATTCATTCCATACATCCATCTATTCAAGCTATTCAATACACAATAATATTGAGATATTATAGTAATTCATGGTAATTTATTTGAATTGATCAATGAGAAAATGAGAGAAAACTCATATTGTAGGAAACAATCAATTCTTGACTTAACATATAACGTTATTTGTATGTGTGTGTGGTAATAAAAAAAATGGCAAACGAACCGATAGCAATCGAAATTAACTTCTCATTTAATGACTTGAATCGATTTTACTCATTTTGAATTTCTCTTCAAGTTCATACTAGTTCTCTACTAGATTTTATTTTTTCTTTGGCGACGATTCATTTCATTTTGTTCTAGCTTTTTTTTTTGATTTGGTGAAGTTCCAATCGTTTGATCCGTCGTCAACCCCCTTTTTCGTCTTGCATCTTTGGCTTCCGTTATTGACTCATTTCGTTGTTTTTTATTTTTGTCATCATTTAATTCGATCCAAAATCTTTTCATTGCACTTTTTTTCATTATTATTTCAGAAATATATTTTTTTTAACCGAACGGGTACATATAATATACACAAATGAAATAAAATGGATGAAAAAAATGTTCGTGTGTGCTTAGAATGTAAAATAATCGACATGATCATCAGAAAAAAAAAGATAGACCGACATTACAGTTACAAAAAAAATGATAGTAGTTACCATTCATTCACACACATACATACATGCAACGAATAGATTTGACACAAATCAAATTGAGCATCATTTTGTACCAAACAAAACAAAAAACACATCGTAAATATTAAGCGAAATGAAAACCGGATACGACTTGTTTCGTTTTATTTTGTTATCGTCTTTCTCACTCTCTCTTTCTTTTTTCTTCCCTCTCACTACCATCACCATCGTAATAATCGTTCCATCAATTATGACAATTTATTTTCTCAAGTTTGTCGACGTTGAAAAAAATAAAAAAAAAAAATTCCAAACTAAACACGAAATTGGGATTTATAATCCATTTAATTAAGTATTTCCAAGTGTAAACCGTTTTTTTATAGAGTCATTTATTGTGTTTGCGATATGGATGACAAAATCCAGAAATGATCCCCACCAACAAAAAAAATGTTCACGAATAAAATCGACATAAAGTTGTTCGATCATTGATGAGAAAAAATAGAGAAAAACAAAACATGATCATTAGAAAAATAAAATTCTTTCTTTTTAATTTTATTCTGTTTTTCTCTTTTTACTCTGTCTAGTGTAATAATGTGAATAACAAATGTTACAATGAACTACAACGTACAATTTTCAATTCGTTTCGGATTTTATTTTTTTTTATACAGAGGAAAGAGAAAAAAATCACAATGATAGCTGAATAAAATCATTATGTAATACTATAATAAATAAATATAACTTGTCTTGATTGTTTTTTCTAAATAATTGTTTGATTGAAAATGTGTAAAAACAAACAACAAAATTGCGACTTGTTGTTGTTGTTTGTATATGTTAAATAATAATCATATATGAGCGATTGGTAAAGAACGATTTGGTGTTGGATGTAAATCAACGCTTAAAGCAGATGTTCGTGTCGAATTGGTCATTGTACCCGTACGGTATGGATAATGATATAATTTTTGTTGTTGTATTTGTTGCTTGTCGCGTGTCAATTCATCATTAATTATTATTGTAGGATAATATAAAGAGTTTTCCAATTTAGATTTAGCTGGTAGTTGATTCTGAACACCATCATTCTGATTTTCTGTATATTGTTGGTGTGAATAATGATATTGTTGTTGCTTTTGATAATATTGACGTTGATATAGTAGATGATGATCGCCTACAATGATAGGCTGACTAGAACTCGGTATAGTTGATGATGATGATGGTGATGATGTTGATGATGATGATGTTGATGAGGATTCAATGGAACAACAGTTTTGGCAACAGCAGCAGCAAAATCGACATTGTCGACATATGCAACAAAAAGGAGGCATACACCATTTGTGCTTACGACAGATGACAATCATCATTGTCATAATTAAGATAAGCATAGCGGTGTAAGTAAAAATGTTCACAACTGTTTTCATTGTTGAATTTAATTTTGAGCAAGATAAATCAGTTTCGGACAGTGTAATTAATTTTTTTCCATATAGATGATTCGGAAAATAACATTTTACTTGGTCCTTTTGAGATTGACTTATCATGTTGGAATGTTTTAGATAGGCAATCAGCCAACTAAGCGAACAGTTACACACCAACGGATTCTGTTGTAGGTCTATGTAATGAAGGCGTTTTAAATTGATTGTTTGCCAATCTAAAAAACCAATCATATTGGATCGTAATGAAAGATATTCTAATGAATTATCTTGCTCTTCAAATGTACCCATCTCGATATGGCTTAATTTTTTATTATTTTCGAGCACTAGTCTGTTTAAATTAACATTGTCAATAAAGGCATCTTTATCGATTTGACTTAATGGACATGATGATATGGTCAACGTTTGTAAATGTGTCAAATTTTTGAAAGCTTTTCTTTTCAATGTTGTAATCAGATTATTGCTCAAGTTTAGCGTTCTCAATGTTGTCACATAACTGAGCGATTCCGTCGGAACATTAGCCATTCGATTATTTTGCAGATCCAAATAATTCAAGTTTGACAAATGTATAAAAGCACGTAAATGTATGGCACTAATAGAACAGGAATCAATAATAAGCTCTTCTAATATTGTCAATGGAGAGAAGGCCATTTCTGGAATTTCTGTAAACCTATTGCTGCTTAAATTTAGAGCAACTAAACTTTGTAGATGATAAAAGGATTGTGTTGGAATATGTTTTAGCTGATTACCATGTAGATTAAGCCGTTTCAAATTAAGTAAACCAAAGAATGCCTCTTTGTTGATGTGTGTAATTTGATTGGATGACAAATCGAGCCATTCTAATTTGTTTAGGCTCATAAAAATACGACTATATATTTCCGATAAAAGATTATGGCTTAAATCAAGTAAATATAATGATTCAAGACCATAGAATGAAAGATTATTTAACTGTGTAAGATTATTTCCATTCAATAATAAAACTTTGAGCTTTTGTTGCATGATGAAACTTTTTTTACCGGTATCACCAATTAAATTGTTTGATAAATCTAAATATTGCAATTCTTGATAGACAATAAATGATGAGTATATATTTTTGATACGATTTCCACGTAAATATAATTTTTTTAGCTGCGGATTTAACATGATAGGCACTAGATCTATTTGTGTTTCATTACAGAACACTAATAGTTTTATTTCATTACATTTACAACGTGGCGGACAGAATGTTGCCAACACAACATTTTTATCAATAGTTGATGTTAATATCATGATGATCCAAATAGTAAGTGCAACTAGATCACCAGAAAAAAACATGGTTCGAATGATTGATATGAATTAATTCCAATGTTGGTGATGTTTTATTACTATTCGTTTTTTTATTATGAATTATAATGAAAAAAATCAATAATAACGTTGATAATGAATATTTTTATTGATGTTGCCAAACAAACAAACATTTACGAATTATCTAGAAAAATGAAAAAAAAACGAAAAAAAAGAATTATTCATTTCATAGAAACATGACCGATTACCGTCGTACACATAATCATTGCTAAAATTCAAAGTTATGGGTTCAAATCATTTTTATCCATGTAAATGATTGTGTTCGGTTAAAGAGAGGGTAAGGAGGAAAAAAATGGATTTACAGATTCGTTTTATCATCGTTTAAGTCGACGGGACTCTGACATCACGCGCCATTTCAATCTGATTCTGATAAATTTTATTATTATTTTATTTTTTCTTGTTTTTTTTCATAGTTCATGCTTTGGATAACAATAATAATAATAATACTGAAATTCCGCAGTTTGATAACCACTAAATCGCCATTTGTTCATGTTGACGGTGGTCATGGTGTTTTTTGTTTGCGTTCATTCATCTGTATGTATGCATGTTTGTACGTATCATATATATGTTTTTCTGTTAGTGTTTTTTGTGTTATATGTTTTGTTTGGTTAAGAAAATCGACCGTTAAATGGATAAATAGTCGGTCATTCGCTAGTCACGCTCGATTATTATTGAGAAACTATAGGGAAAAGTTTTTATTCTTGTTTGTGTCTGTGTGTGTGTGTGTGTGTTTTAACCAGATCTCCGAATGATGATGATGATGATGAAAAAAAGATTTGGTCTACCAAGTTAGATGCTTCACCATTCTCATAAAAAAAAAGAGAAAAAGATAGGCACAAATTTTTGCACATGATCTAATCTCAAATATCTAAACAACTTTTTTTTTGTTCATTTCATTTCTTCAGTTTTCTTTTCTTATTTCATTTCAACCGAAGAAAAAAAAGTGGAAAATCATTAGATTTTGTAGAATTCTATCACTATCTTTGTCTAAATTTTTCACTTTCTCTCTCTCTCTCCCTCACTGATTTCATTTAGTCGGTATTTCTTTTTTTTCAATGAATCGAATAGTTGTTGAAAAGAGAATTTCTATATATATTGCGTAATATCTAAAAGTATCAAGAAAATGAGATTGTGTGTGTGTGTATATAAAGAAAAGAATAACGGCTGAATGGACATTGACCAACGACGATGAATGTAGCCAATTTTTTTTATATATCGAATAATGTTAAACGATGACAGACATTGCAGCTTCACTGCATTGCATTTATTTATTTTTTTTTTGCTCGAATCATTGAAACAAAATAAAAATAATAAAATAGTCGAATGACTTACTGAATTACTTTTCAAAAAAAAAGTTGGTTATAATAGAAAAATTCTTTCTCGTTTAATAAAAAATTTCCACAATCAATTTTTGTTTTGAGTTTGGCCAATTTTATTCTCTTTTTTTTCTTTCAGCTATCAAAACCACCATAATTTCGGTTGTGTGTGTAATTGAAACCAGTCTGTGGCCATTCTTTTCTACAATAAGTTGATATTGATATCATTCTATTTTCTATTCTTTGTTCTTATATGTGTATATGTGGTTAGATAAGATGAGTTTTGTGATATCAATAGTGACGTTCCATCATCATCATCACAGTGTTAATGAAAATTCATTCATTCAGAATCATTTTATACCCGTTATTATTATTATTAATGCTGATATGGCAAACACGAGTAATCGATGTGATAGAGATGGATAGATGCATTGAAGAAAAAAAATGCAACTTTTTTTCTCTCCCTTTTTTGGTCCAACAATAAAGTTTTTTTTTCCTGGTCGCAATCGCGGTTGATACTAGCTAATTCTACTTAATCTCTAAACCAAAACACCCATTCACACACACACATAGAAAATCATCAATAAAACTTGCTATAAAAGCTGAATAGTCAGAACAAGTTGACCGTCAACCAATCGACAAAGTTGATAAACTCACGAATTCTAGTTTTTTTTGGTTAGAGATTCAGATCCTAAATAATCAGTATTGAACGGAAAAAAATTGTCATATTATTATTTCTGTTTATTGTCCATTTGTTTGGTGGTAGTCACTTGAAATAGTGAAGCAAGGAAAAAAACAAACAAAATTCTCCTCTCATCAAACATTCAATCAGATTAACAACACAATGGAGAAGAAAAAAAAAATTCAAATTAAATAAAATAGCTAACATTTACAATGAAATCATTGACAAAACACATTCGATAATTGTAATGTAAAATCTAGTTTGAAGCAATGACAACAACGACAACAAAAATAAAAAAAAATCATCGGGATTTTTTTCGGTTGTGATTCTATAGATTTTGTTATTTTTTTAGTTTTTTTTTGCATTGGTTTCATTTAAATTGCTATTTGTTATAGATGATCATTATGAAATCAACAATAACACAATTGCATTGTAGCTACTACTGCAATCATTTTGATTATCATCACGACGATAACGACGACGATGATGATGATGATGATGATGATGATAATGATTGTCGCCGTTCGTTGCATGAACATAATCATCATATTGTAACAATCGACCCGCGATGACAGCAACAACAAAAAATGCCAATAATGCAAATAACATATTAAAGACGTATGTTCGTATTCTGTTTGAAAAGAATATTCAATGAATTATTTCTCCACTGATGATAGTATGTATACCCATTTTAACATCTATAACACAAATACATATTTTTCAGTATTGAAAACAACAATTTTGCGACATGCTGCTGTAGACTGAAAATAACAGATGTTGAATCGAACTAAAACCAAAAAAAAAAATCCAATACTATGAAAAATAAAGTATATAATGCATACAAACAAAGAGAATAAATTGTGTGATGAAAGATATCTTTGTCCATAACTGTTAAAAAAAATGAAAATAAAACGAATAATGGATACAACAACAAACCAGAGAGAGAGAGAGAAAAAAAAATATATGAAAAAATAAAAAATAAGCATCCCTTAGCACTTCTATTTAGATCTATTCATTCATTCATCCATCCATCTATCTAACCAATTCAATTCAATTCGATCAAAATGGGGACACAATTCTATTCAGCCCATTTCCAGTGAGAATATTATATATTGGCATAATGATGATGATGATTCGTCTATCGTATATCGTCATCATTCACCATCAACAACAACAACAACAACAACAAAGATTCACACAAATTCTAGATTTTTCACACTTTTCTACGCCCTTATACAACACACTTATATTCCAAATTCTATGAATCAGACAGTCAGTCAGTCAACAAAAATTTGAAGAAAATTGCTGTTGCAAATAAACGAAAAATAAGAAGTGAAAACAAAAAAAAAACTTTCATTATCGATGGAGAGAGAGAGAGAGAAAGGAAGTGTGAACGAAAACATAATAAATCGATTCTATCGGTTTAATAGTTTTTTTTCATTCATTCATTTCAAACATCTATTCTTTTAAAATTCTGGAATCCAAAAAAGAAAAAGAAAAATTGTCTTCAACAAGAGAAAAAAATTCGAGTTTAAAGTTCGATGGTTGGTTTTCTATCGGCTTGGAATTTTGTTGTTGTTTATTCTTTTGTTATTTCAAACTTTTTTATTTATTTATTTTTTTTTGTGAAATTTTTTTCTGCTTTGTTTTTATTGTTGTTGTTGTTGTTATCGTTGTTTCTCCGGTTATCTTTGGTGTGAAAATTATCTCGGGAAATGTGGTTCTTGTTAGTAGAATTGTATGTGTCAAAGAATGTGACAAACGTTTCATGATAAAATAAACGAATTCACTGAATTCAATGTGGGTGTATATACATTGTTAGTTGAATATCACTAAACTAATCAATAAATGAGCTAAAATGACTATATCTCAGATGTTTTAATTTCATTTTATTTTTCCTGGTCTGATTTGCTACTGTATAATAATAATAATAATGAAAAAGTCTAAATTTTTCTTTCAATTTTTTTTCTCAAATTTTCTAAAGCAACCGTTGTAAAACTATTATAATTTTTTTTTCTAATACCATTTGATTCATTGCACGCTAAATTAAACATTTAAACATAGAAACCATTTAGTTTAGTTGACTAAAAGAGAATGAAAGGAGGTGGATCTTCATTCCAAAATGATGATGATGATGATGACGATAAGTGAAAGTGAATAACCTATGAAAAAATAAAATGGAATGCGAATGGTGTATATTTTTTATGAAAAAAACTTGAAAAATCCTATAAATTCTTACGACATAAAATGGGTACATTTCTATTCTTTATCCTGTTTTTATGATAATGCTTCTATTGGATAAAAAAAACAACAAGAATAGAAAAGAATTATTGAATTTTAGAATCGAATGAATAGGGAATAACATGATACCGATTTTGAATGTAATAAATGAATGAACTAATGATGTTCAAGTTTTTTTCCAACAATTTTCATCGATTTGTGTGTGTGGGTGTTTGTATTGGGATAAATTTAAGATCAAAACATTCTCAAAGAAAATTAGTGATTATGTTGAATGAGAAACACACAATGAAATAATGATAATGAGAATCCGTTTTTTTCTTCTTCTTCATTATTGTCGACAATCATTATCGATAAACTCTTTCATTTTCAATTGAAATTGTGCGTGTGTGTGTGTGCGTTTGTATGTTGAGTACGAGGGGACAAAATCATCATCATCATCATTATCATCAAATAATTTCAAGAATAATCGATCCATTCGAAATGAAATTGAATTGAATTAAAGTCAATTCAAAAGAGAGAAAGAAATGAAATTTGGATCCATTATAAATTGATTATATTCGAAACGTTCATTTTAAAATTGACAATATCAAATAAAATTTTTCGAAATGTTAAAAAAATTGATCGTAAAAAATTATTTTTCAACTAAATTGACAATGACATTTTACCTTTTGTTTGAATGAATTTATATTTCATTATTATTATTATTATTATTCACGCAAAAACAAACACAAATAGTCGTTTAAATTCAAAATGATTTTCTTGATTTTGTTCAATTTTTTTTTCGTTTCAACATGTATGTGGAAACAATCTAACTGATCAATATTGGAAAAAAATCATAATCAAATTTCACTTTTGATATGATATATTGATGATGATATGCACATGTTTTTTTCTGTTGGACAAATTTTTTTTTGTTGAAAATTTATGTTTCGGTTATGGAATTCTTTGTTATTCAATTTGATAAGTAAAGATAAAATTACATTGGAAATAAACACAAAATCGATGGAATATTTTCTTCATTGGAAAATGACCACATACAATACACACACACAATGAATATATCAGATATGGAAAAAATTTTAAATTTTTTTCTGATTTGTAAGTTATTGTTGTTTGTTTGTTTCAATTTGAGCTTATCTTTGAACAATTGTTGTTTGAAATAAAACATTGCCCGTTATTTTTTTTAAAGATTAGAGCGGTCCTCACCCTAGGCCGACTCAATTTTAACTGAATGATTAGGATGGTTGTAACACCTATACACACAAATAAAAACCGAAATGAAAACCGCGACCGTTTTTAGTCTGTCCGTTCCATTTTGGCTGCAAAATGGTCTAGCCCATATTGGCGTTCATCGGATTCCATCCCGACAAACGCATGCCTAGTTTTGATTTTAAAATAGAAAAATTTTCCACTTTTCAACTCCATATACGTAACGAGTATAAGAATAAATGAATCGATATAAAATCATAACCAAATACAGGAATCATATAATTCAAATTTGGGCCAAAACAACAACATCGATACCCGGTTGGATCGTTTCTTATCATCATCATCCATACCATTCATTTGAGACCAATCAATTTTACAATATCAGATCATTTATTTAAAAAGGAACGATAACAAGAAAAATTTATGCATAGTCATCAGAAAGAATAAAAGAAAATTATGAAACGTCCATATGATCCGATAATTAAAAAAATAAATATTGAACCAGCCAGCCAAATAAATAATTTTTTTTTGTTTGTTTGCTGTCTCATCATTATATTGTTGACCACAGATATATGAGCAAAAACTTCTTTCATAATAATATTAATATCATTTCAGTTTGAGCATACACCCACACATGCTGAATGAAATTCTTAAGGATTCATTATTTTGTTTGGTACAAATATTAGAAAAAAATCCAAACTTCTAATCCTTATCTAAACATAATATTATTTTGAAGTTTGGAAAAATTAATTGCGACTGACAAGACATTCTTTGCTGTTGTTGTTGTAATTTATTCATTTAAAAATAAACATAAACAATATTAAAATATTTACAAATAACAATTATTATTTTTTCATTCGGTTGAGATCGGATTTTTCATTTTGAATTGATGATGAAAATCATGATAAAAATATGAATAATAATGAGGCAGCATTTTTCTAGGGAATCTTCTATTGGTCCTTAATTGTCATTTGTCGTCTATAATGTTGCCAATACACGACTAAATGAGAATAATGTTGTTGATAATGTCAATCCACAGCCCCAAAACATTGCATATATTGGATACATAACAAAACTTGCTGTACGATAAACGCTTGCTATCACAGCGGATGTAATTGAATATGAAAATAAAGGTGTAACAATTGATGAAAGTAAAATTACTATAGGACTGTAACGTGCAATCTTATGTCGTCGTAATGATGCAAATGCTATGGCCGATGCGATCAAATGAATTATCACTGAAGAGACTAATGACCAGAGAAAGATATAATACCACATTGCTATCATCGTAATTAAAAAAGAATAATTCGACGTTAATGATCATTGATAAATAGAGAATATGATTATATTTACCTAAAAAAGTTTCAATTGGTTGATTTCCCAATATAATAACATCCCAAAATGAGCCTAGTATTGATGTATCAAAATCTTTTGAATGTCCAAGACCCATGATCATCAAAAACAGAATCTAAATGCATCAAATAAATGTCTCGAGTGTGTATCCAAAATTTTTGTTTTGAGTTTGGATCATGTTTTCAGAATCATACTATCGATACTATCGATAGTTTGTGCAAGTTCGGCGGCTTTTTCAAAATGAAATGTGATTGCCCAGAAATTCATAGATGTGTATGAATCATCGATCGGTAATCCAGCGTATCCAATGGATTTTAGCCTTTTTTTCATACTAGTTAGTTAACTTTCGATTTTCTCTGCTCAACAATGGACATATATGATGCAAAGCAATCGTTCGTGATGATTGGTGAAAATTGTTTGATTAACTATGTAGTTACGATCATTGTAATCCAATTGGCTTAACTTAATATGAAATGCTGTGAGGCAATCATGATACGGTCATTATGAGGTAATCATAGAAATCAATGTGTTAAAATATTATATGATGATCAAATATTTGTGATTCAATAGAAAGAGAAAAAAATGTCGTTGCCATCTTGACAGCATACATTGTTGTTGTTGTTTGCTGTAGAAAACCACACATCCTATTCAAACAGGAAATAAGTGCACGATTATAATTTAGATATTTCAATGGAAAAACCAATGGAATGATTGATAAGATAGATTTATGAAGAAAAAATCTCAATAAAATTCTAAATGACATTGAATCTTAGCATGTTCCATGGTATTAATACTTTCAATATACTTTCAAGATTCGTAATCTTTTTCTAGTTGATGCAATCGTATAAATTATTTTGAATTATAAAACAAAAAAAAAATAATAATAATAATAAATAATTTCGAAATTTGATGATGTTTAAAATAATGAGATTAATCATTTCCTCTACGATCGATTTGATTGTTTTTGTTTGGTAAATAATTGAATGAAATGATTGTATTCAAGTGTTCGTTCCGTCCTGTGTCATACATTTCGATTTTTTTGTTTGTTATTGTTTTTCATTGCTCAAGTTTTGCTTGATTGCCTAATTAGTGTACTGAACGTGTATCGTTCATTAGATCTCCATTTGTTGTTTTTTTTTATTTTTGATAACGAACGTCATTTTGATTGAAAAATTTGAAATTTCCACCTGTATCATAGGTCAGAGATCTTTGAATGTGATGGCTGACAAGGAAATTTTTACCTTTCAAAAAATTATAACATTAAAAAGGAAAAAGATTTGACCTAACTTGATGTTCGGTATATATTTTTAAACCATCAAATTTAAACCACCAGTAAATCAAATGTTTGTGTGTGTGTGTGGGAGGAAGAACACGCAGGAAATCATCGATAATAATTGTAACAATTACCTGTTCATATTTTCAATCTGAACCAATTTTCAATATCAAAACAAAATAATTCATTTGTTTTCTATTCCGTTCAAAATTACACACATGCATATATGCATGTATATGGAGGAACTGCATGGTGAAATCATGAAACCATGACATTCGTTTAAATTCAAATCGCATATATTATTGTTGTTCATAAATTTTTTTCATCATCATTTCTATAGTGGTCGGCAGCATACCTGACTGCATATATCTTCCTTACCTCAGTCTCTGCATGTGTGTGTTTGTTGTGTTGTGTTTCTATGTATGGTCACCATGAATGGTAAATGAATATATTGCGAGGGAGGGAGAGAGAGAAAAAAAATTCATAGTTTCAGCAATAAAGAAGTATTAAAAAAATTCATAGCAATGAATGATGGTGAATCGACCGATGAATACAGAAATGAACCAAACAACAACAAACAAACAAAAACAACAGAACAAGATTGACGACGACGACGACGACGACGAATGATGATTGTCATGGCAAAAACACCTGTACAATAACGACCAACAATAAATAGCCATTCATTCGTATCGTAGATTCTATCGGTGACGAATATTTTTATTATTATTATTTTTAAAAAAATTGAATGAATGAAAAAAAAACATACAACATAACGTTATTGGTCAGCAACAACAAAAAATAATGATGATGGCGATTATCATCTGAGAAAAAAAACTTACGACCGCCTTTATATAAGTTTTTCGTTTTGTTTTGTTTTCCTTTCTTGATTTGTTTTTATTTTCCTATTTTTCGTCGATTCGATTGTGTCACACTGAAAAAAATGACTTACTTTAACTTCAACAATCAGTGACGACGATGATATTCGAAGTTTTTTTTTACTTCCAGGTTCACATACTGGTTGGTTATATTGTGGTTAGATTTAGTTTGTCCTTTTTTTTAATAAAAAAAAATAATTTCTTCTTTGACCCATGTACATTTACCGTCTGTGTTATTCACAATGGTATAAAGGTGAGATTGTTATATTAAGAAAAAAAGGAATGGATTGTAATAAAATTTCTTTACTTTTGACCTTGTATCTAAACCTTCACCATGTGTTTCATATATAAATTTAATTTATTTCGTATAATCGTGACCGATTGAAGCCTAAAATGAACAGGACCTAGGTTGAAAAATAAAACCTCAAAGAAACCAGCCAAACGCAAAAGAAAATAAAACGTTTACATTTCGTTCATGAGAAAATTTTCTTCTGTTTATTTGTTTGTTTGTTTGTCTGTTCGTTGATTCGTCTCGTTCATTTACATTTTCACTTGTTTTCTTTTCGGTTCATAACGAATGTGTAAATTATGAATTCAAAGTTTTTCTGTTATGAAACATTGCCTTCATCATAATCATAATCATCATCAAAGGTCATCATTAAATGTTCAGATGATAATTTCAAGATTAATGAGTTTTAACAACGAAAACAAAAAATTATTTTATCCCGACAAAAAAAAGTGATTTTGATTTGGAAATCATTGATATCTTACGGTCTTGTTAGTGTTAATGCCATTCAGAAATTGAATGAATTGAATAATTTTTCGCATTTGAAATCATCATCGTCGCCATCATCATAATTTCTAATCACGATCGAAAATTTAAAAAAAAACAGACAATCCAGTGAAACGTCGAAATTTAAATAAATGATGAAAATATTGTTTAAAAAAATAATTTCATTTTAATATCATATTATCATCGTTATTAAACACCATACATAATAATCATTTATAACAAACACGCAAATCGTTTAATATCAATCGAATGATTGAAACAAATTTTTCAATACACACACACACAAACCGCACATATAAACAAAATTCCAAAATACAAACATCCATTCACACACACACAATTGGCAAACAATCATTATTTGGATTATCGATTTTAAAAAATCTATAATTCAATTCAAAAAAAACATAGTGTTTAGTGAAATCATCATATTTTCATTTAAATTCAAAAAATATAAATACTTAACAAAGAAAAATTCTAAATAAAAACTAAATTCCAATGATATCATCGATTCTGGCCAATCATCATCAAATTGGCATGCCAACAATAATCATCATCGGTCGATCATCTAACAACAATAAAAAAAACCAAACAGATTATAAATAGCTTGTGTATCAAGTGATCCAGATCAAAACATTTCATTTAATCCATATTTATTATTATTGTATTGATGCAATTAAAATTAGTTTCTTTGTTTTATTATTTTTTGCCATCACAATTGTTGATGTGAGTGCGTTTTGTCTTTTTGTGTTTGTTACGATCTAAATTTTTGATGGAATTAAATCCCGAACATTTATTGTTCAACACAATCTATCTTCTTAGTTATTATTGTTTGCTAACGTTATATTATAATTAATAAGTGAACTATTCTATTTTGGACAAATTGATTAGAAAACAACATCATTTCATGTTATTTAATCATCAATATTTCGATCATCAAAAAAAAATTTTCTACACTAAATCTTCTTCTATATTTATGATAATATTCTTAACTAAGACTAATAATATATGCTCAGTCATCATCATGATCATCTGAAAGCCAAACACAACTAAAAAAAAAAATTCAAGTCATTTTCCATATATTGTGCTTATGTGTGTATGTTAATATTTTTGCATGCTGTCCATCGTGGAATCCTGCTGATCTTTTTTTTTTCTATTCATATTTATACATTGATTCCAATGTATTTTATTTTTTGCTTGTTTGTTTGTCATTGTAGGAAAAAAAATCTTTAGCCAAACGACGTGGTCAACAACAACTACAGAAAAAATGAAAATGAAGAAACAAATGCCCAATGTGATCATCATAATGACGATGAAACGAAAATTTTTTCACTGCCTGTCAATGACATGTCTGTTGATACTGAATTTCAAATTATTATTATTATTTGATCATGATCAAATTGTTTGGGCCAATCCAATGTTGGTCAATGATGATAATAATAATAATAATAATAACAATTCAAATCAAACAATACAGGTTCAACTATTTAAAAATAATGATCGACCAATAAGATCGATGAATGATAATAATGGCCGAAATCGGCCCAATAAAGAAGAAGAAACAACAACAATTTTGCCATATTTTTTTCGACATCCACAATCATCATCATTATCATCAATAAATATTACGAATAATTCAACATATTATCAATCGAATTCGGATTCGACAAATGACAATGGAAATAAACATTCATCACAACCACGAACAGATTTATATACGATCGAATTGACATCTCCATCAATAACACAACAACATCACCATTCAAGACAAGCTAAACTTGATGATGATAATATTGTTTTCAATTATAAATGTCCTAAACAACATTTTATTCATCCATGCGATTGTCTCGGTATGTGTTCTTATGTGTGTTTGGCGGTCATAAACACGGTTGGATAGATGAATCATCTGATCTAAGACGGTTTTTCTCATGTTTTTTTTTCATTCTATTCAATCTTCCTTTATTATTATCAACATAGAACTTGACAAACGAGCTGAAATGTATGATGATGGCAGTGGTGGTGGTGGCGATGGCGACGACGATATCACCGTGAATGGAACGCCAACATTCGAAATGATCGAAGAGGATCCCATCCATCCTGATCTAATTGAAACAGTTGTTCTTTGTAAAAATATTCGAAATGCTCAAGTACTTACTGAAGCTATTCGTGGTTTTCAAGGTAAAGTTTTAGAGGGAAAAAATGAATAGATAGGGTAGATGAATAGATAGATTTTTCTTTTCATTGTCAATTTGAAAATCGATTAACCAAATTTTTTTTAACAACAATAAAAAACAATAGGACATCGAGTGAATTATATGGTTCTTGATGGATGTAAACTACCTCCTTTTCCTAACAAGTAAGTTTTAAAAAAATCTACGGAATAAAAGTTTAATGAGGATGGCAGTAGTGATGGTTTGATTCGAATTCATTTAAGACATTGATCGATGAATGAATGTTTGTTTTAAGAATGAATTTCATTTGCAAAAAAAAACTCGCTTCATTCAAACTAACAGCTAGATTCGGCTAATTGCTATAATCTTGTAGACAAACACATTATTTGTTAATAATATTACTGTTGATGTATCAAAATTTTCAAATAATCAATAATTTTAAATTCATTATTTTTCCTTTCATTTTTATATATAGTCTTTTCAAGGGCATTCACATTGTTTGGATGGAAATTCTAAATTCAACTATGCAATTTCATGACAATTTCTTTCAAAATCTTAGGCATTGTCCATAAAATTCAATCAAAAAAAAATTGTATAATGACTTGAAAGTTTTCCCGTGATTGGAATCATCGCTTTGTAAATAAATTTCTATAAACATTAAACAAACACTTGGGATCGAATGCATGTTGGAAAATTTATAATCAAATCAACTTATTTTACTTTGTTTTTTTATTATTTTTATCATTATTTTGTATTATCATTTTATTTACATTAATTTTTGATCTATTTATCAATTAATTAATTAACTTTTCGAAAAAATTTTTTCTTTATGAATTAAATACAGTTAATTTATTAAATACCATCATCATTAATGATGATTCAACTTAGGCTGACTAATTGATGTGGAATGCATTGAAAAGTGGCGAACAAAGAAAAAAAATTCTTTATTGAAGATTCCAAATTGATTAAATTATTTTTTTTCTCACCCATCCATTCATATTAAAGACGATGAAAGATAAGAACCATTTTATAAATTTTTTGTCTCTCGTTCTTTCTTTTCTTTCTATCGAATGGAACCAATTGTTTCTCTGTGAATAGAAACACAAAAGACTAGAGAAAAAAAAGATGCATGCATATAACGATTTGAGCTGTCATCTGATGTGATCATTATAATCATCATCATCATCATCATTATCAAAATCATCATCGAATAAACGATGAAAATTTATTCACAAACAAAACCGAAAAGAATTAATGAGACGCCCAATCAATGGCAGACTTTTTTCGCTTCTTTTTCATTCAGGTAGATGGAAGCGATGATTCATGATGGTTATGATATCAACATCATCATCCACACACGCGATAATGGTCCAAGGATGGCCATAGTAGTTTAGTTGATAATGGTCATACCTTTTTTTTTGTTTAATATATGAGATTGTTATATTTTTCTATTATTATTTCAGAATAAGTATAGGTCATTGACCAAAAAGTGAATGAAAACATACATACATACATACAACGAGAAAAGAATAAACCAACAAATATTTGAAGGGTTTTTTTGATTCATTCATTTATTGTTGGTTATTTATTTGTCATCGTTTTGTTCTATATAATAATATAATATTGGTTATGATAAAGATGAATCATTGATTAATTTTAACAACATTTTTTTTAATAAATCAAAAGCAAACTTTGTTTCAAATTATTATTATTATTATCAATAAAATTGTTCGTTGATACATTCAAACATTACATTAGCTACCGTACACATCATACTTGATTGGTAAAGAATTTTCAAAAAACGAAATAAAAGAAAAAAAAAAGATTCTCGTGTATACATAGAAAAACAAGAAAAAAGAAAATATGTAGCGATGGAGCAAAATTTCAGAAAAAAAGGGTAATAATTATCCATTTTTTTGATGTAATAATAATAATAATTAGAGCAAAAATTTAAAAAAACAAAATAGAAAAAAATAATATTCGGGAATATGTTTAGACCATAATTAACAAATGGTCCAATGTGTGAAAACAGAAGAAAAACAAATTTTTTTTTGACAAAATTCAATTCAATTTGATGAACATTGATATTAAATGCATATAATTTTCTACAAAATCTAAATCAATTAAATGTTTATGTAATTATGATGATGATGGTGATGATGATGTGTGATGAATTCAAATTGTTTTTGTTTTGTCCGCATGTTTTCTGTATTTTTTTTCTTTTACATTAATCAATTTGTTAATTAATCAATCAATTAAAATTATTAAAACATTATTAAATTAAATGTTGATTATTACAATCAAAATATTTTTTGTCTGTGTTTTTTTTAAATAACAAAATTTAAAACATAAATGAATAAAATATCTATAACCGAACGGATGGAACCGGATGTGGGAGAGCTCATAATTGAGAAAGAGAAAGAGAAAAAATCGTATAATAAAAAAAATATAATCTCCGATTGATTTAAAATTAAATGATTAAAAAAAACAATCAAACGATAAGATAAAAGAGCAAGAATAAAATTTTGTTTGGAAAAACCGAATAATATTAGTATGCAATTCAAAGCGAGCAATTGATTTACATATCAATTTAAAATTTATAAAAAAGGCAAAAAAAAAAATCCCGAAAACGAAAAAACTTTTTTTTGTTTGTGTGTTTGTCTGTATGAAAAAAATGATCTAAATATTGAATAGATTTCGAATGTCCGTTTTTTTTTGAAATTAACACGTTTTCCACCAAGGTAATAGGTAATAGTGAACATGTCAATTCAATGAAATGAGAATGATAAAAATCGAATGAACAAACGAAATGTTAACCTTGTGAATTTAAAATGAAAACGACAATTATATAGGGTATTGAACAACAAGGATGAACAATTTGTTTTGATGAAATTAATCAATTTGAAAATTGAATCAAAGTTTAGCTTGCTTTTCTGACGGTACGACAACAAGTAATTTTTGAAGGAATAGGGTTAAATTATCTATAAAATTAAATGAAATTTGATTAAGTTCAAATAGATTCTTATTAAATATTGAAATACTCACCGAAAAGTGCTTGCAAAAATCGTGGCTTATTTTTCCAAGCAATGAATATGAAATATACTGGAACACCAGTCAAAATGATTAGAGCTCCGGTAAGGGTACCTTTTGGATCAGCAATCATTGGAACAATGGTGATGAATATTGATGCCAATATATAAATTGTTGGCCAAATTAAATGTACACGAATTGGACGATGTAAATCCGGTCTTTTCCATCGAAGATATGGAAGACAAGCTACACCCAAACCGATGGCTAACCATGTTGCAAAACCAACATAATTAATCAATGCATAGATATCTTTTGATGCTAAATAAACCAATGACAATAAACACATGCCAATGACGGCTGGTGTCGGTGTCAAATGATTTATTTGAATCATGGCCAATATTTCAGGCATTTGTTTTTGTTCTGCACCGGCAAAAAACAATCTGTTTTAATATCAACAAGTTGAATTAGCTTCTACATAAATAAAAAGATAAAATAAAATATCAAATGTGTACCGACCTCGATGAAGTAAACAAGATGCCATTCACACCACCAAATGTAGACATGGCGACAAAAACCGGAACGATCCAAGCCATCCATCCATATAAACGTTCGGCAAACGTCTTATCAAAGAGAGAGAGAGAGAGAAAAAAAATACATTATAAGTGACAACAAAATCAATAAAAAAAATTGATAATAATGTAAAAATAACTTACAACAGCAACAGCTTCAGCAGATAAAACATCGGCAACGCTCAATGTTGAATGAAAAGCAATGATGGTCATCGTGTAAACAACTGTGACAAGAGAACATGATATGAAGATGGCCAGGGGTAGATTTCTGAATTGAAAAAAATGAAAATTACATATCATAAAAAAATACACACAGATTTTCAATATTTATCATACTTATGAGGATCTTTCAATTCTTCTATGACAAAATTCAAATAATTCCTGTGAAAAAAAAAGAAATGAATGAAAACAATATTAAAATAATAAACAAAGATACATACCATCCATTGTATGCGAATAGACCGGAATAAAATGACAATGCTATTGTTGATATATCCACATTTTCGACTAACGGATCTTGTTTAAATGTAAAATATTCAACGTTTCCTGTTGCATATGAAAAATGATAAATGTATTAAATTAATGATTGATCGTTTTCGTTAATCTCTAAGATGATGAATGAACAAACAAACAAACAAACCTTTGAATAATTGAACGACTCCAGTAATAATAATGGTACAAAGAGCCAATAATTTTCCATATGTAAAAAAATCCTGCACTCTTGTCGACCATTTAACATCCCAACAATTTACGAATGTAAGAAGACCTATTCATAAACGGAAATGAAAATTTATTATTAATGTTTTATATGCTAAAAATATTTTGTTAAAATGAATAACATTGTTCGAATGAATAAATCCATACATATACAAACTATGGCCAATAGTCTGATTGCGAAACCAGGCGGATCACAATCCGGATAAAATGGACGTAATGTATAGAATGCAAATGCCAATGCAATAATGGCGGTATTACATGGTCGTACAATCATACATTCAATCCATAATCTTAAAAAGGCAACAAATGGCCCAAAACTTTCCATTATATATGTATAATCGGCACCGCTTTTAGTTATTGTAGTGCCCAATTCAGCATAACAATAAGAACCAATCAAAGAGAATAAACCACTACAAAGCCAAACAACAATTGACATTCCAACACTACCGGTACCGGAAAGTACACCTTTAGGTGAAATAAATATTCCGGAACCAATCATACAGCCAACGATTACATTTATTCCATTCATAAGACCCATTTTAGGTTTCAAACAAATAGCATCATCATTATCAATATTATTTTTTTGTTGTTTATCATTATTTCTTGTTGATTCATTCATTTTGTTGAAAAAATTTGATTTGAAATTGGAACGACGATTTTTTATTCCAAATCAACACAAACAATTTATGATGTTTATGAATTTTTTTTCACTTAGAAACCACCAGAATAACTCAAGTGAAAGCACAAACAAAAACATAGACACAAACGTTAAATTGATGCTATCTAATAAACATTAATTAACCAAAGCAATATCATAAAATAAAACTAAACAACAAAAAAAATAGCACAAAACGAGAAATGTAAAATGTTCGATGATGTTTAAAAATATTTAAAATGATCGTTTTATCTGATAAAAAAAATCTGTACTAAACTCGATAGATTTCATCAGTAGTGAACGAAATACGAATAAAATAGAATCTGGAATGATGACAAAATATTTTTTTCACTCTTGTTTTTTTTTGTTGTTGAAAAATTTCATATAATATGATTTCGCCAAATATAGAAACCCTTATACACTAATACACTTTTATTATAAACATATTATATAATCAGTACCGGTGACATGGAGATGAATGTTTTTTGGCTTTATTCGTATTACATAGATATTCACAAAATGTGACAAAACTCCGACAATGATAATATGAGCATAGCAAGAAAAGAAAGAAGAAAAAATTCCTTTTATTCAATGATATTGTGTGAGAAAAAAAATGTGTGCTTTTTTACATCATATTTATCATCATCATTACCATCCCTATTCCCGCTCATATTTATTCAAGAGGAAAAAAATCCAATGGCTTTAAAAATTATCTGGCAGTTCATGATGTGATAGGGTGATGGTGGGAGGTGTGTCTTTTTACAAAACAAAGAAAATCACGATTTTTTTTTTGTTAGTTTTGTTTATTTGTTCTTTATTTCTGAATATATGAAAAAAATAATAATTGTGGCGTCTGGCTAATCGCGGTTGATTTAGTAGGTTTTAAGTAATTTTTGTTAAGTTATGTTGTCAACCGAATACTATTCATCAACCACCTGATTAACTATACTTGTTGCGCTTATTATAAATGACATTCATTCATTCATTGTGAATATAGTGTGTGATAACGACAATGCGACAAAGGAAAATACAGCGTGAAAGAAAGAAAGAGAATAAAAACGGCGTGAAATGTAGAAAAAAGCTATTATCCCATGAACATGGCCAAACATAAATCTTTTTTTTGTACTATACATCTGTATTGAACACATTTATTTATTGTATGATCATAATCATTCAATCAATAATGAAAATAATAATAATAATAATATGGATTTTTTTCTGGAATCAGAAGCGCTAAGCACGATTTCGATAAATGGTCGAGAAGATAAAAGAAGAAAGAAAAAAAACCACTTTTTTTTCTATATTGGTTATAAGATAATAATGATGATGATGTTGATGAAGATTAAGATTTCGTGTGTGTTGTGTTGTTTGGGTTTGTATGTATTTTTGCCGACAACGACAACTTTAACAACGAATCTCTTGTCGATGCGTAACTTTGGAAAAAAAATTTCTTCATCTATATTCGATTATAGGGAATATTTATAAAAAAAATAATAACAGGATTTTTTTCCTCTTCTCTTTAATTTTCCATGTTATGTTTCATGTATGTTTAATCTAGGTTAATGATAATTCATCATTTATCATGATAATGATGATGATCATCGTTATTTCATTAATGGTTCATAAATGTCATCAAGAAAAAAAAACAAAATATTCTTCTTTTCAATTATGTTTCCAGTTAATCGACAGATTGGATGAGAGAATGTCACTGTCGTATATATTATTATTATTATTTGACATCGATTATTTTGTTTTTGTTTTGTGTGTCTATTAACATTAACAACCAAAAAAAAAAAGAAACAATTAGCCTTGAAAAAAAGTAAAGAATTTTATTTTGAAATTTCTAAACCATCATCATCATCATCATCGTTGATCATTATCTCAAGGTAGAAGGAAAACCTGATGAATGATATCATGTTTCTTTCATCATCATCATCAGTGAAAACCGGATCATTATTTAAAAAAAATCGGCTATGAGATTAATAAAGATTTTTTTTTGCAATGAAAAAAAATAACACATCATCAGAATTAAATACACCATATTGATTAGAGAAAAATAAGGTAGAAAAATTGACAATTTTTTTCACTGAACAAAACCAGTTCCAGTGTGTATGTGTCGATCGGTGATTGCAAGAGGCATAGAAATAAATTAAAATTAATTTTGAAAAAAAGAAAAATGTTTAAATGTCATTGTCACGCCTATCCATCCATTTTTTTTCTCAACCACCCTTGACAATTGTTTTTCATTCATTCATTCATAGATAGAGGATTCAAAAATCATAAATCATTATCATCATCAATTGGATACCACACCATTCATTTAACAAATATTCATCATTCATCATCAAAGAATCAACGACCTGTCTATATGATGACATTTTATCAAAAGAAGGAAAAAATAACAAAAAACAAAAACAAAAATATGCACCCATGACATAGGTCAAAAATTCATTTGCATTCATCCGTATATAACATTTGGATTAATGAATTTTATGAATAAAACCAATGAATGAATGTGAAAAGAAACTATGATGGTAAGATGATGATAATATGATACAATGAAAAAAAAATATTCTACGACGACGACGAACAACGATAATTTTATTATCCATAAGAAGGAGAAAAAAAAATACAAAGAAAAAAGAAAATTTCATTCAACTTTTCAATTTCATTCTTTCGTAACATCATTTGTCATGAATGTTATACCTAAATAGAATAGAATCCTAAAACATAACCGAGATACATTCATATAAACCTGATAAACAACAACAACAACTAAAAAGAAACTAAAAAGAAATGTCGCCTGGGTGGAGAGACAAATTTTTAAACACAATGAAATAATTGATGCAACAATCTTGTGACTGATTACAACACATACACATGATTACAACTAACATTCATGTGATTCATTCATATATTCTTTGCAAGAATGAAGGCGCCAAAAGATGAGATCATTGCCATTATCTTCATCAACGAAAATCAGAATGAAATTAAGATAATTTTTTTTTCTCATATACAAAACTCTTCAATTTAGATTTATGTATAAACATTTCGAATCAAAACAGAGCAACAACAAAAAAAAACAACCAGAATGATGTAAGCAGAAATTTTTTTTCTAAATCCGATTGATATGTCATTTATCCAATAAGTTTATGTTAGTTTAATTTATATACGAAAAAAAAACTTTTTGATGTGACATCGATGATAGGCATGTGTGTGTGTGTGTGTATATATATATCCGGTGTTTCGCAAATAGGAACTGCTTTTTTAAGCATCATGATGATGATGATGCGGAATATTGTAACAATAACGAATGATTGCAAATAATTTAATTGGAAATTTTTCATTAATGTTGCATTTGTAATTGTATTATGACTCTTAGAAAAATCTATTTTTCTGCTTTGTTTCCGTGATAAAATTCACCCGAAAAAAAACTGTCTTCTTTATTTAAACTCACTTGTTTTTTTAAATCATTTCATAGCTTATGTCTGGTATCTATTTGACTATTTTAGGGTATATAATGTCTGTGTCTATGTGTATTTTGTCTCCATTACACACACACATATATATATGGATATATCTAACATGAAAACATGACAGAAAAAAAAGAAAAATAAAAAATGAAAAACAGAACACCGGAAAATGACATGATGATGATGATGATGATGATTATCGAATGACAACTATTTCATCATCCATATTATCGGACATAACATCATATTATCATCATATTTTTAGTGCAAAAAACAAATATTATACAAGTCCTTTTTGCTTTTTTACATTAACAACTCGAATATAACAAATACAATATTGTTATTTGGGCGTTTTCAATTTGTTGTTTTGTTTGGATAAGAATATTTGAAAATATTTGTAATACAAGAAGCAGGCGAAAAAACAAAAACAAAATGATAATAATAACTTACCAATACAGATACAGGCCAAATAACGGACAGCATCGGCTGGTGGATCGCAATCGGGAAATATTGGACGTAAAACATAGAATGAAAATGTCAATGCAACAATTGCCTGTGAACAAGGTCTAACAATCATGCCTATGAATATATGATTATATGATGATAGCAGAAAAAATATAGATTAAAAATTAATTAATTAATTTCTTTTTTTTCAAGAAAAAATAATAATTAACTGAATGATTGGACAATTTTTTTGGCTAAATACTTTATAAACATAAACATACATTCAATCCAAAGACGAAGAAATGCAACGAATGGTCCAAATGATTCCATTATGTATGCATAATCTGCGCCAGTTTTTGTAATCATACATCCTAATTCAGCATAACAATACTGTATGAGAATTAGAGAGAAGTTAATTTAGTTTTTTTTCAAAGTTAAATTTTAATATTTTTTAAAAAAATTATTTGTTCAAAGAAACGACACTTACTGCACCAATTGTGGAAAATAAACCGCTAATAATCCAAACAAGTAATGATAAACCAACACTACCGGTATTTTCTAGTACACCTTTTGGTGATACAAATATACCCGAACCAATGATACTACCAACAATAACAGTAATACCATTCAAAAGACTCATTTTTGGCTTTAAACAAATAACATCATCATTTGCTGCTGTAGTTGGTGTTGTTGCTGTTTGTTGACCATCCGATTCATCATTTGAAGATGATTTATTAGCTGGTGTTGTCATTTCAACATCACGATTCTGTTGGGGCACTGCAGAATAATTGTCGGCCATTTTCTTTGTTTGCTTTTGTTGTTTTGTAATAGAAAAGTTTATAAATTTTATAGAAATAAATAATTTATTTCTATTTTGTTTATTTGTAAGAACAAATAGATGGTTCAAATAGATGTAAAATTAAAAATTACATGAAATATTATATACGAAATGCTATTGAATGACAATCGATGATTGATTCACTAATTTAATGGTGTTGATGAATTAATTGGCTGAGAGAGAGAGAGAGGGATGAAAGTGAAATAAAATATGACAACCGGAGCCGGCTTCTAGACAAATGAATTTCAAATTTTATATGTATAGAGCATCCACTTGTCGATTTCAAATGACGTCTATGATGATGATGAAGATGATTGAACACACCAATAGAGATGAAATTTTGAAAAAAAAATCTGTTGAATTGAATCTTTTATCAATTGAATGTTATAGAAATATATTGTTATTATAGGCGATCAAAAACGGTCGAATTCGAATGACATTGATTAAATTATTTATCAATTAAAATGAGAATGAAAAAAAAATTAATCGTATCGATGATAAGCATTCGAATTTGAATGATTGATTATATAATGGCAGATGAGAGAAAGAAAAAAAATCACATCAGAACATCATTTTTTTTTCTTTTTGAAAACGAAATGATTTTTTTTCTCTATTTTTCATTCAAGAAAAAAGTTTGGCAACATTGTAGATATAAAAAATTTCAAATGTAATGAAGGAATGAAGTCACCACGTGGTATCGATCAGACATGAATTTTGTGTGTTTGAATCAATGTAATTCTTCAATCAAAATTGATAATAAGAATCGACAGAACAAAAAAAAAACATAGAAAATCTCCGATGCGATAAACCAAATAATATTAAACCATATGTGAAACGAAAATGTAATTTGAATATTGAAGAGAATTCCTGATGACCAACAAAACAACAATAACAACGAAAACAAAGATGAGAATTATTTCACTAAAAGGATATTTTTTAAAGGCAAAACAATAACAACGAAGAAGAAAAATTATTCGGTATTTTGATCATTATTATTATTATTGGTCGGTTTAAATGTCTGATGAAATATATTGATTCTCTTGATGCAGCTAGTTTATTATTATTAATATTAATATTATCATCATCAAAATTGTTTTCTTTTCTTCCAAATTATATATATAGAACATGGTATAGGCAAACACACAGATATAAATATTATTATTTTTATATATATAGATATCCGAAATGAAAAATAATCGACGGCTGCGAATAACAACGACGATAATATCAACAGAAAAAAATGCGGATGAACTTTTTTTTTTGCTATGTTGATATTCAATTCACATGCTACTTTGAACTTTTAATAACACGAAATGTGAGCATGTTATGTTTCATATTTCATTGAATTTTCGTTAAATTTATCTTCTTCATTCATTCATTCATTCATTAAGTTGGTTTATAACACATACACCGAGAGAAAAACAAAAAAGAGAACGATTCGTGGATTCACTGCTCTAGTTATCGGGGTACCAAACAAGCAACGACGGTTAGATCAGAACTTGTGTCTATCTATGTTTTACGTATGTATGTATTTTGGTGGTTTGTCGATGTATATATGACGTAATAGTTATTCTTAATATAGCCTGTTATATATTCTTTCCAAAGAAAAACAAGAAGAACAAGAAGCAGCAGCAAAAAATAAAGGAAGAATAAACACCGATCAGAAAAACCGTATTTGCCGTTGCTCAAGATTTGATTCGAGTTTTTTTTTTCGTTCAAATATTCCTTGTTGGTTTGGTTAAGATGATGATGATGATTATTATTTTCAATAAAGATTCATTGCTATATATAATGATGTTGCATCGAAAAAACATTCATCGGAAGAACGGATAGCAATTTGATTTGATTTTTTTTGAAATATAATAATCATGTGGTGTAACACCAATACACAAACACACATTTGGCAAGTGGTTCAAATTATGAACGGATCTGAATACTGGAAAAAAAACCAAAACCAGAAAAAATAGAAGAAAAAACTAACCAAGCAAGCTAGAATCACGCATGCAACTTTTTTTCTCTTTTTTCAACAAACAAACGAAAAAAAATAGAAGATGTCGAGGATCATATATCCGATGATGGTGATGTTTTGAGTTTATATTTGATGTGTATAGCATACAATAATATTTTATAATGCATCGTATACAACGAAACTTGTGTCGAAGCCTGTTTGTTACTTCGATTTATGATGATGATATAGTAGTTTTTTTTCTGGATAGTTGAATTATATATTGGTTAGAGATCTCACGGGCTACACACTCACATCACATTGATTCTAAACACACGTTGTATCACTATGGCGGGATTTTTTATAATTTGTCTATGTTCTTAACATTGAATGTCCAAATAATATAATGGCCATGATAACTAAATGGGAGGCGAAAAAAAAGATGGAATGCAATTTGTTTTGTTTGGACATGACATGCGGAATGAATGATTTTTTTTTCTATTCATTCAGGCAATTTAATTTGCTTTTTGTATAATTTTCAAAAAAAAAAAATCATCTTGATTCCGGCGTTCGATTTGAGTCGACTCAAATGATTTTATTTTTTATTTTTTAAATTTTAATTTTCCTTCCGTACCGAAAACAGTAAAATATATCATAATCATCATTTTTTTTGTTTGTTTGTTTGTTCGACCATCATTATTCAATATTTTCATATTCTTATCATGAAGATCGTAAATTGATCAAAATTTTTTATTTATTTAATATTTGATTCACTCTCTTTGTTATTATATTTATATATCACAACACATAACTATTCAAGCTCATCATCATTATTTTTTTTGGGAAAACAAAATTGTAAAAAGCATCAAACCATAGACGAAAAAAATGAAATTGGACAATTGATTTTGACAACTCTTGTATGATGATCAAAAAAGAAAAATTTATTGTAATTGTGTTCTCAAACGTATTGAACCAAAACATACAGAAATAAACACAGTAGTCGCATCAATGAAATAGGTTCATAAATGATCCAAACATATTGTATTGTTCAACATTTGTAAATTGATTGTAATTGATTCGATTTGATAATATCATTAAATATAGATTGTTTGAGTCATATGAAAATCGACAATTTGATTGTTATAACACTAAAATAATTTATCGTAGCTAACAAAATAAAGAGGTTTGGCCATAATGAATTCGAATAATTGAAAAAAAAATCTTCACACTTGAAAAATTGGATCGACCGTTTTTGGCTATAAAGTTGTGGTAATTTATTCCACTTGTTAATAATTATTTCAACTATCATCATAAATTTAAATGAAAATTGACGGATAAAGAAATTGTTGAATCATTAATTTTTTTCGTAAAAACCGCCGAGCTAAATTGATCGTCTAAAATGATCATATGAACCATAAACAGTGAAAATAGCGCTCTCTGTATTTATACAACTTAAGATATTATTTGATGTATATAGCGACAAATGTCATGCGGCGTCCGTCTCTTCAGAATTTTGTTTTTTGTTTTTTTTTGTTGATGTTAGATCCAAAGATTTTAAAGAAAAGCACTTATACTCAAATTGACTGTTTAAAAATTGTTGTCCCTATTTTTTGACTTTTTTGATCGATTGCTTAATTGATAAGTCGATGAATAGTGTTTACAACCTGAATTTCTTATTCGATTATCATAATGAAAAAAGACATAATTCTGATAGAAAGAAGCATAATAAAAAGATCGATGATTATTTATTTGCTACTAAATTAAGGCAAATAATTTTCATATTCATTTAAAATATTAAAGGTATGTATGAATATCCGAATTTAACAGATCTATAATTTGTAAATGAAATTAATTGACCAAAACATGCCCGTCATCACGTTATTTTTTTGTCTCTATTCTTCATATTTTCTTCGTTTTTCATCATATCATTTCATCATTCATCATCACAAAATCTACAAACATTTGAACAATCTTTTTTGTTTGTTGAATGTTTTCTCTACTCAATACATAATATTGAATTAATGAATTATTATCTATTCGAAAATGTATATAATACAATATCGGTAAACACATATATATATCATTTAGATACAATATGTATGTGTGTATATATTTTGACCGTATAATCGTTCAAAACAATTTTAACAAATAAAATTATTAATAAAAATAATAATAATAATAATCATCATCATATCACTCCTACTTGTCGATGTTATCATTGGATATTATCATTTGAAAGACATTTTTTTCCCGTAGACAAAGAATAAATTGAATTTATAATTCTTTAATCCATAACCAATTCATTATTGAAAAATTACATTTAGAGAGATAAATGAATATTTCAAAATATTCACAAAATTACAAACAAAAATCTTAATCTTATTATTATTATTATCTTCATATTTTATATATGAATTAAGAACAACAACATCAAAAATATTACCGATTATAAAATGACATCATTGTCCATGGGCGTTTATTTTTTTTATGGCCCTTGGTTAATATAATTATAATAATAATTATAATACTCATCAATTGTTGTTTTTTTTTGTTTCTTATTATTCATCTTCATCTGTATTGGTATTTTTTTTTCGTTTTTTTTTTCAACCATCCTTTTGTGTGTTTGTTTTGTATTTTATTTTTGTTTTTCACAAATGTATGAGTGTATGATATAAAAATCTCTTTATATATGTAATAATAACAAAGAAAAAAAAATTTAACAAAAATGATTACGCAAAACACAACCATTGATGACGGTAGTAGTGATAAATTAGAATTGGAACCAACCGGTCCAATATCATCGATTATATCAACAAAAATATCAACACAATCCTCGATCTCAGCCACACCTTATACACAATTAAAAGTATTAATGCGTACAACATCAATTGGTTTAAATAATCCATTACGGAAAACATTGTGGCTAGGATTATCCTTACGTAATAATGCCGTAAATGCTGATGATTTTGATACACAATTTGATAATTTAGCTGTCAATAAATTGCCCAATTTTGTTGATCCAACCACTACCAGATTCTATTATTTGAATTCAATATCACGTAAACATGTTGCAACTATACTCTGGAATTTATCTCAATGTATGTATGTTTAGTCTATTCTATATAAATTTTTTTTTGTTTTTGAAAAAAATATTTTAACCAATTCATCAAATATAAATTCAACGATAGCATATCCTCAGATGACATTTGCACCCCTTCTTTATCCATTGGTTTCCTTATTTCTTCATTTTCATACTCCTGTCGATGTTTATCGTAGCATTGTTGCTCTGGTATGTTTGTTTGAAATTTTTTGTTTCCATTAGCATCAAATTAAAACTCGATCAATCTTTCTTTGTTCAGCTAATGTCACGAGAATCACGTTTCATCGGTATCAATCGAATAGATAGAAAATGTGATGCATTAAGCTTGATTCGTTTGGCTAATAAATTTGGTGTAGCTAAATTAAGTAAAATTGGTTCGAATGGTCTGGAAAAACTGCAAGATTCTGATGCTGCATTTGCCGATTGGATTCAATGTAAGTTTTTTTTTGTCTTTAAAAATTTATCTTGTATATAAATCATCATGGGCACAAATGTTGATAAATCTGATTTGATTTAAAATTGAGATTTAGGAGAAGAAGCAAAATGTTTTTATTATTATTATTTTTATCGCATGAAATAGTTTTCTTTTCGTAATAACTTTGATCTTAGGCGACGTGTATGTACATTTCAAACATTATCTTGATGAAATGATTTTTTTTTGCTTTTGTTGTTGTTATTGTTCATTGTCCTCATCAGGGATCTTTGGCTGTCTTCCTTTTCATTTTTGTGTGCGAATCGTTGATTGTTATCTGGTGGAAGGGGAAAAATTTCTATACAGAATAGCGATGGCATTAGCCAGATTATTCGAGAAAACCCAAAAGAAACCGCTCGACATCGAACAAATGAGGGTATTTTGTCAAGATATTGCTACGATTATTACACCGACTCAATTGATTCAACAGGCAATCAAAATAACCAGATTTTCACGCAAAGGTATTTTATATAATTGCTCAATTTACAAAATTAATAATGGTTTCCGATTTCTTAGATATCGTTAAAGCAAGATCAAAATCCGAAAAAAGAAGTGAAACAATTTGTTTCCCAGAATCACCATTGCTCAGTCGTAATGGTATGTTAATTATAGAATTCATTTATTTCGAAAATTTACTGAACTTAATTGAATTCAGATGTAATGTCTCAAAAAGATGTGACATTTGGAAATCGAATAGCACCGCGTAGATTCAAATCATCTATACTCAGCTGGAATCAATTGGATATACTTTGGGAATGGATTCCTGAACGTATTTATATTCAAGAACCTTTGATTGCATTCTGTTCTGACGAAAATGGTATTGCATAGTGTAATTTTTTCAATTGTATAATTTTTTTTCAAATCTTAATGAAAACAGGAAATTCTCTTCGTACCTTTTATTCATTGTGTGGTGACAACGAACCTACAATAATTTTGGTTAAAACAATTAAAAATCAGGTAATGAAAGCAGAAAACAGAATTCAGCATCCAAGAATATTTTCTTTTTAATTCTATAGATATTCGGTGCTTATTGTTCATCAAGCTGGTCAAAACGATTAGATAGCGGTAATCGTGCTGGACAATTTTTCGGTAATGGTGAAACATTTTTATTCAGCATTCATCCCCGTATTGTTAAATATGAATGGGTGGGAAAATTTCGTGATGTAAATCATCTGACACCATCACAACAATTGTTTATGTCGGCAACGAATGATTCATTTTCAATCGGCGGAGGTGGTGGACATTTTGGTCTTTATATCGATGAAAATCTTTCACGTGGTGAAACGCATCGATGTGAAACGTTTGAAAATGAACCATTGACCAATGAAGATCCATACTTTGATGTTGCAACTATTGAAATTATTGCATTTTGTTGAATATTTTCATCAATTTTCACATATTGTTGTATTCCTTTTTCCGGACATTTTTTTTGTTCATTGTATATTTCTTCAATGAACATAATTCTCATCAGCATTTTTTTCTTCTCCATCTGTGTTTGTTTAGCATGTTTGTGTGTGTGTGTGTTTGTAAAATTTTTTGTAGATTAAAATTTCATTATTCAGAACATTCCAATAATGTGTTTGTTTCAACGAAATGTGATATTTTTTAGTTGACGCGCACTATTTCGATTAGATTTTTTCCATCGATAATTTTTATCCCAGAATGAAAAAAAATTCATCTTTTTTAAATACAAATTTATTAATTCGTTTTGATATTGATTCGTAATCTTATATAATAATTTGAATATTATATACACATGACCATCTGAAAAAAATTTCAAAGAAATCTGGATCAAAATATAAAAAAAAATTAATGAATGATTATGAATTGGTCATGAATCATCAATGATCAAGGCCCACTCGATGTTATCATTGATGATGATTTGTTGTTCATTTTGCTCGGATTTTTTGTTATTTTTTTCAAAGCATCACCATGCAATTTATATTCCAATATTATATTGGCTGGTAAATTCAATACACGTTTCAATGTATCACGTATTCGAGTTTTTATCTCCGGATCATTTCCACTGCGATTCCAAACACATATGTAATCTTCTATATATAAAAAAGAATTTGAACACACAATCGAATAAATAATAATTATTACAAACCATAATATCGACAAGCGACAACAATACCACAGATTTCATCATCAACCATAAATTGTTCGCCTGTGAAAAGTTGATATTAAATTTTACAAAAATTGTTATCAATCTAGTACTATTACAAACCTATAAATGCCAGTAATAAATTTTCCCAAAACCTTGATGCAAGACCTAATGAATATATTCAAATTATTATCCAAAATCCAAAGGATAAAATGTTTATAATTTCAAATTTAATGTCAAAAATATATACCTTTGCGCAATCGCAGTTTCCACATTCCACCATCTTTATTCGCTTCATCCTAAATATTCATCATAAAAATTATAACTGATTTGAAAGACAACAGAATAGAATTTATAAACAAATAAACTTACTTCCCATAAGGGTTTAATGCCAGATTTGAATACATGCAAATCTGAATGTCCTGTTAAATCATTAGGTCGTACTAGGTGAGTATAAACTGACCAAAAACTTTGTATAGTATCAAATGTGGCAACAATTTTTAGATTTTGATCATAATTTTGTGAATTTGGCATAGCTTTTCCTCTGTTGACACCACGAAACCATACATCATATTGATGCTGAAGCTTCTGATAAGTGAATTAAACAAAAACAAAACATTATTATTCGAGGAAAAAATTCAACAATCAGTCAACACAAACTTTTGTTTCTTTATCGTTCATCGTATGAGCAACGTATATGAATTATAACAATTAAAACGAATCCGATCTATATTAACAATGTACAGCAATACTGAATGGACTAATAATGAAGCAAGTCGAACTAAATTATGGTTGTCGCAACAAGGTTACATAGATGATCCTTTTGTTAAGTATTTTTGTCAAAATCCGATGAAAAGAGCACCTGAAATCAATCGAGGTTATTTCGCACGAGTTTACTCCATAACTCACTCAGTCAAACGTTTTTGTTTGAGAGATGGCGCTAATTCACAGATCGTTAATATTGGTTCGGGATTTGATACACTTTTTTGGAGGTAATTATCTTTTTTTAAAATGAAAATTAAATTGATAGTGAATCTTAAAATTATAATTTTCAAATTTTTATAGACTAATAAAGAATCCTGACATTAAGTTTAGCCGTTATGTCGATATTGATACAAACGAAGTTATTGATCATAAAATTCGAGCCATCCTGAAAAATGAAGAATTATTACAATTTTGTGGTCAGGTGGAAAAATCTTCCACCTCACAGTTTCTTTCCGAGCGTTATAATGCTATAGCCTTAGATGCTACAAAAACAATGCAATTGGTTAGACGATTATTACAGGAATGTCGAATAAATAAGTCGGATCCAATCATTTTCATCTTTGAATGTGTGCTCCTTTATTGGCCCGAAGAATCGACTACCAATTTAATCTATACGCTAAACAAAACGTTCAACAAATGTAATTTCGTCATTTTTGATCTGGTTAATACCAAGGATAAGTTTTCCGATTTGATGCAACAATCATTGGTCGAACAACAAACACCATTATTAGGTGCCGGTTCTTTTAGATCGATTGATGATTGGCGAACAAAATTATCAAAAATCGAATGTTTACATGTTCATGCCTGGATTATGAATGATGTATATTATAAATTGATCGACCAAAATGAACGTGAGCGTATTGAAAAAATTGATTTTTTCGATGAGATTGAATTAATGTTGCAATTATTTAATCATTACTGTCTGGTTATGGCTAGTAATTATTCAGATTTTAATTGGTAAATCGTTGTTTTTAAAAAATCTAAAACAATCATTTTACAATTAAATTGATGTAATCAGAAATTTAAATAAATTTTTAAAAATGTAACAAAACAAAATGGAATTTTTATTTAGTTAAAAAAATGATTCCAATTTTCGTCATTTATGTGTGGAAATAGCAATTTTCGAAGGTGAATGTTTCGTTCCCATTCACATTTGTACCAGTGAAAACACACGGTCAGCATTAGCTTTTAGTTGATTCTTGACTTTTTTGTTGTTGTTAAATTTGAAAAGAATGTTACGTTTACGCCCAAAATTGATTCGAAAGTTTCTTTCGGTAAATATTTAACAAAAAAATTTATCTGTTTTTTACTCGAAATCATTTCGTATGTAAATAGAGCCAGTCCCATCTTAATGGTACCAGACATCTATCATCACAAGGATCATCGTATGTGTTATGAAATTAGTGAATCTTTCTTCTCTAAATTTTGTTTATTATACAGAAAGCTCAAAGCAACATTTTTACTAGGGACCGGAGCTGTGGCTGTAACAACCTTGACATTGGCATATGCTAAATATGATAAACAATTTGCAGATCAGCTCACATCATATGCGCCTTTTATAAAAAATTTGCTTGATGATAGTCCGACTTTGAAGGCAAAAGATGATGAAATTTTTGAATTCCACAAAAAGAAAACGAATAAACCTACTGATGCAGCAAAAAGTATTAACAATTTTAATCAAAAATCTGACGGAGAAGGAAAAACTGTCTTAACTGAGAAAAAAGATGAACAAACAAAAATACAAGAGCCGCAAAAACTGACCAATACATCGGAAAATCAGCCTAAAATAACGGAAAAAGATCTAAAGAATGAAGTGCTTAATCTTCAGCTAAAAGTAAAATTCACTAATTCTGCATTTTTTTATTAATCCATTTATTTAATTTTTAGGCAGAAAATCCAAATGTACTTGAAGATGAATTCCGTGGTCAGCTGAAGAGGTTATTGTATGCATTCAATGAATTCTATGAAGAAAAACGAATTCTTTATGAGACCGAAAACAAACGAAAACAAGAAGTTGAAATGAAGAATTATCTTATTCAGGAAAGAGCGTCAATGTCTGAAGAATATGAGAAATCGATGAAAAAATTGAAACAAATGGAAAATCTTTTGCAAAGTAATATATAGATGAAAACACACTTATGAAAAATAATTTTAATTATTTTTTTTTACCAGTTCGAGATCAATTGGACAAACAGGAGAAACCGTCTAAGAAATTATGGTTACTTAGCCAAACATTATCCAAGCTGCTCGAACATGATCGAACTTTGAGCAAAGAATCTATGCCCATTGATATAAAAGAAAAAATCGATTGTATCCGAAAAGTTGTCGAGGAAAATTTTGCTAATGAAACATTAATACAAATTGCATTGAAAACCCTTCCAGATGATGCAATCAAAAGCGGTGTTTATAGTGAAGAAGATTTGGTTCGTCGTTTCCATAAAGTGCACAAAATTTGCAATCGCGTTGCTTTGGTTGATAAAGAATATACGAATATATTTGGCTATTTAAAATCCTACGCATATTCGTACATCCGGCCGTTGTTTCAAATAGAATTTGAAGTTAGTTCAAATCCTATTAGAATTAAGGAAATACCGTCTGAAGAATTGGAAGGAAAAATGGAAATCGATCCAAATGAATGGGATGCATATGATATTTTACAACGTGTAAAATTATGTGTTGAACATCGTAACCTAGAAATGGCCATACGTTATGCTAATCTCCTGAATGGTGAACCATATGTAGTGGCCAAAGATTGGATCAAAGATGCAAGAGAACATTTAGAAGTTAAACAAGTTATAGAGCTATTACAGACTAAAATCGCATCCATCAATCTACATCAGCTTTCTTTTAGTGCTTAATTTATTGTGTTAATAATAAAATGAAATAAATAATAATGAAGGGTTGTTAAAATTTAAAATGACAAAATTATATTCATTTTTTGCAATATGTTGGTATTGTAACTTAAATGTATTCAAAAAAATTGACCACTGATGTGGGAATAGAAATTTTATATCGACAAACCAACAGAGAGTAATAACATGTGTTTGACTATATTGGAGCCGCAATTCCAATTAAAACCCAAATGATTTCAGACCAAAAATGAGACAGCAATTTTTGATTCGAATTTTTTCACTGAATTATCTATCGATTATCACATTCATCACGATATTACAGTTATCATATTTCATCCATGCTGATGAAGTAGTCGGTTGTGGTGGATTTGTTGTCTCCAGTGTCAGTATTAATTATGAACCAATCAAAATAAAATTGTAATTATATTATATAAAATTGTATGATTTGTTTTTCAATAAATGTTCAATTTTTTCGCAGATATACTGATCGCGGTATCATCAAATATATAAGCGATTGTGCGCCCAACAATGGTTACTATTTTATTCCTTTATACGATTTTGGCAAATATGTTTTGCGTATAACGCCTCCCCAAGGATGGATATTTGAACCAACAGAAGTTGAATTCAATTTTGATGGCAAAAATGATCTTTGTTCCAAACAAACAGATATAAATTTTGTCTTTAAAGGATTCACAATTTTCGGTAAAGTTTTCAGCTACAACTCGTTGGCTGGTCCAAAAGGCGTTCATATTACTTTGCGTTCCAAAGCAAATAAGAATGTCATCAAACAAAATGTCACTGTCGATGATGGACTTTATGAATTTCATGAAGTATTACCCGGTCAATATTTAATCGAAGCTTCCCATGATCATTGGAAGTTTTTGAAAAATACTATAGTTGTCGATGTTGTTGATGATAATATTAATCATCGTCAAGCAAGTGAACCTTCGGATCAACTTTGTTCATTGGGCTATTCGGTTGTAGGTAAAGTTGTCAGCGAAGGTCGACCTATTCGTGGTGTTCAGTTTGCTCTGTTCAGTGAAAATCATAAGCCTCCATTTCCTTTGGGATGTCAGGAAACCAAACCGAGCTTTTTATCCAGTTTAAAAATTAATTCAAAATATCATTATTTATGTTATACTTTATCGAATGAAGATGGACAATTTAAGTTTGAATTTCTACCCATTGGGAAATATATTGTTCATAGTTTCTATGATACCCAAAATATTAGATTTGAAGTTGTGCCTCATCAATATGAATTCGAAATCACTAATAATGATAAAGATGTTGGCGTTTTGTTTGAAATCGGTGGATTCTCAGTATTTGGTCAGATTTTAAATAAACTAAATCCAAATGATAAGATGGAAAATGCTCGTATTCAATTTATCGATGAAAATAAACGCTATGATGACATTGAAGTTTTAGTTAAAGAATCGAATGGAAAATTTTCGGTTAATAACATTAAAACTTCCAACTATCTGATCAAAACGACATTGGACCGGTATCAGTTTGATGATATAAAGTTTTTAATATCTCCCAATTCACCAAATATTCCATTGATAACGCCTAGCAAGTTTGAAATTTGTGGTAAAATCATCCTCAAAAATGACGAATTCAAAGATGAAAATATGGAATTGTTGGTAATGGAGAAGGAGACGAAAAATTTAATTGAAAGTGTTAACATAGATAACGAGGAATTTTGTCTTTTCTTACCCGGTGGAAATTATTTATTTCAAATGAGCACTCATCTAAAATTTGTCCAAAATGTAGTGGAAGTTGTTGTCAACAAACCTCGTTCCGATATTGTATTCAATCAGATGACAATTACGTTACATGGTCGAATTCAATTAAAGTCAGCTTTATTAGAAGGTGATGATTTTTTGTCAGTGATTCTGTCCAATGATAAAATGGCTACGAAAACATTACCCATCAATAAGTTACAGAAAAAATCAGCCACTGATTATAGATTTGTATTCGAAAATCTACTACCTGGTGATTATTTTGTTTCGTTGGGTGGACGACAAGTCAACTATTTCTGTTGGAAAGAAAATATTATTCCCATAGAATTGAATGAGAAAAAACCCGTTGAAATCATATTCGAACAGAAAGGATATCTTTTACAAATCATTTTGTCACATATTTCCGATTTGATCATCAAAAGTCCAAGTGGATATTCAACAAAAATTGCCAAAGAATCAATCGCTCAAGATCGTTTGATAAAACATTGTGTTGAAGAAACGGGTAAATATTCGATCATACCAAGTGGATGTCATAACTTTTTATCAAGTCCGGATTCTAATATTATTTTCGATACGGAAACAATGTCAGGACAAATGATACAGCTCACAGCTCTACAGCATTTAGTAACTGCTAAGATTGCAACCACTACTAACATTACAGATTTACAAATTTTTATCAATACCAAATCAATCGAAGGGGAACGGAATAAGACGTTACATATCAATGATGGTCATAAAGTTAAAGCCGATGTTTTAGAATATAATCTCAAATTCCATGAGAATCCGATGTCAGAGATTTATATTGAACCACGATCATCACAATTGATTTTTAAACCTTCATTTTATCGATTTCGACTCAAAGATGATTGCCATCTCAATGGAGTGACTTTTCATGGTCGTCCAGGTATTTTTGTCAATGGAAAAATAAGCCAAAAAATTTCCGATGTCAAAATTGTCATTTTTGATAATGAAACAAACCAAATTCTACAAACTGTCGATACTGACAATGAAGGTGAATATCAAGCAGGCCCATTCGATGATGAAATAAATTTACGAATTGAAGCAATGAAAGAAGATTTTGTTTTCAAGGCATTGCCAAATAAGAAAGGTCATTTTGAAGTTAGTAAACTTTCTTCAATCAGCACGATGATTGTAGATGAAAATGGAAATCCTTTGAACGAAGTATTGGTCTCATTAAGTGGGGGCGAAAATAATTTCCGTCGTAACAGTTTTGTCAACGCTGAAGGCAAATTATTGTTTGATAATTTACATTCTGGACAATACTTTATTCGTTTTTTACGAAAAGAATACGATTTTGAGCCGTCATCAAAAATGTTCGACATCGATAATGGTGATAATGTTGTCATTAAAGTAGTTGGTAAAAAAGTTGCATTTAGTTGTATTGGATTAGTTGATTCTCTCAATGGCGAACCTGAAGCAGATATTATTGTTGAAGCAGTTGGTATACGAAATATTGTTGAAAATAGCACCGTACAATGTACACAATTACAAGAACAATCAACAAGTGAAATCGACGGATCGTTCAGAATTTTAGGCTTGCTACCGGATTGTCAATATGTTATTCGGCTGAAAGCTGATCAATTGAAAAATAAAAATATTAGCAAATCAATACCAAAAGCTCACTCGGTTCGGCTACAAAATCGTGATCTTAGTGACCTAAGGTTCATTGTGATTTACAAAAGTTTACAAACGGATTTGACTGTCTCGATTCAAACAAAAGAAGAATATTTGAACACTATTTCCGTGAGTATTTTTGATTTATTTGTTTTTAATTTTTATAACAAAATAAAACTTTTAATTCTAGATCAAATTGTTCCGCTCAAATGAACCAAATGCCATATTTCAACAGACATTACATAATTCATTCATATTTTTACCATCAGTTCCATTGAACAATGCTACATATTTGTTAAAACTCGATTCGAATCTTGATGACCGAACATATCAATTTGAGCCAATAATTCATGCAATACAGGCAAATCAAAGCTATCTACATTTGCATTTTGATTTTTCTGTTCAACGTCGTTACCAACATGATGGATCAAATGATCAAGATATTGCACATAATTCACTTTATTCGCTAATACTATTCTTGATCGGTTTGGCCATTTATAATCATCGTCAAGTGTTGGAATTTTATCATAAAACGCCAATTAATGTGGCAAACATTAGTCAAATTTTTACTCGTTCATCTTTATCAAATAATGAAAACACATCGGATGGCAGCCATTCTTCTACAAATAACAATGGCAAAAAGAAAATGAAATTTAAAAAAAATTGAATTGCAATTCTGTTGTATTTATTATAGTCTTGATTTTTGTTCATTTTGTGTCAATAAAATAAAAAAAATTTTCTATTAGTAGACAATGAATTGAAGGCGAATTTTTGTTCAAACATTGACATGGTCGAGATAGTCATGCAGGTAAAATTTTTATGTGTAAGGAACAAAACAGTCTTAACAAGACCGTTTTTGCTTATCATGTCTTATGATGCTAGAATCGTCAAACTTGACCGGTTCTACTTGTCGGGCAAACTTGTCCTACCTTTGAACGAATATATCTTACTGTTCAACATTCAAAATTCGTTGCTGATAGTTATCAAAATATTCGAGGAAGTGGGATGGCAAAATGGCTTTTTGTTGTCGATTAATTAGTTTCGCTCGATGCACTGTCGACGAATTATATGTAGAAAAGAGAATAACCGTTATATTACAACCGTCCATCTAAACGGTCTACTTTTCATTACCTCTCGACTTCGATCTGAAAGAAAGACTTTATCAAAAGATGAATTTTTTTTTAAATAAAATTTTTAATAAACTGACAGTTTTTTGAATCTCATGACAGTGTCAATTTTTCTGTGTGGATTTTTTTCATTAAAATTTTAATTAAAATTGTATCAATCGACCCGAATCCATCTGGTCCGGAAAAAGTGTTGGCAAATTAATATAACTATTTTGACAGCAAAAAAAACAAAGATGCGTCTTTATGCTCGAACGTTTGTATTGTTAATTGTTCCGATCTGTATCCTTTGTGTTTCACATGAAAACGAGAAAACAATCGAATCTCAATCAAAAGATCATGTCGAATCCAAAATAGATAATGCAGCTCTGTTTTCACAACAACTTAATAATGATAAACTGATTACATCGTTAATCAAATCAATCTTACGGATTGCTTCGAATGGATTCAAATGTAAGTCCTTTAATGTAAAAATTTCAGGCTTCAACTTTTTCCTTTTTTTAAAATAAAAGCTGGCCTGGAAGCTTCGGTCCGTGGTCTTTTCGATAAGCCAATGACAAGTGCAGTAGCTGCTATTTCCATGGTTATTGGTGCTGTCGCCATATTAGCATTCTATGAATCTCCAAGTATGCTTTATTCAAATGATTATTTTTTAGTATAACAAATGTGTTTATGTTTTCTAGTTTCACCATTGCCAGTTCCTCCATTGCCAGATCCACCTGTTGGAAGATTCCCACCAGAACATCCAATTTGGCCACCACCAAATCGTGGAAATCAACAAATGTCCTATCAACCGAAACGTGCTTCTATCCCGTACCCCGTTAATAATTTGGCCAACAATTTCATCTATCCAATGGGCATGAATACTTTGACATATCATCGATCCGATAATATGGCACGAATGCCATTACCAATGCAACAATTTAATCGATTTCAACAACAAAATAAAATTTCAAATGCAGAATTACAAGAATATTATAAAAATGATCTTAAAAAATTGATTAATCTTAATCTAGACGTTAAAAACAACAAAGTTATTGACTATAATAACAAACGAAACGGAATGGAATTGATGAAAAATCAAACTGTTTCATGAATTTTTTAATGTTTAATTTTATTTTATTTCATTATATTTTTTATTTTGATACATATGAAAAAAAATCTAACTTAAATTTATGTTATCCAATATGAATCATCACGGTGGGAGTCCCAAAAACCAGTCTCAAATCATATTTTTTTTTCTCAATTGTGAAAAGCTATTAAAATGCATTTTTTCTGGTGAACTTTACTTTGATTGCAAACAGGTTTTCTTGAAATGCCTTCCGCATTTTTGTTTGTTTTGTTTGTTTGTTATCATCATATTCAGGCTAATTCAATGAATCACAATTGACCGAGACTTTAAATATATATTTTTTTTTCTTTTCGAATGTCATTTATATGATGATTTATTTGATCTGAATCAATGTCAGTGAATTATGGTTTTCTTAGACTAATTGTTGACTTATTTGTTTGTTGACTATTATCTTTATGAGAATGATGATGATTATTGTGTAAACAAGGATACATTTGAGAACAGGATACACCCTTTAGGGCATTTGTTGCAATTTCATAATACATTTTCACAGCTTGGACTAGATCCAATTTAAAATCAAAACGTTCAACTGCGATACTATAAATAAAGAGAGAGAGAAAAAAATATTGAATAAAACAATAGTACAATGTCAAGATCGTTATTATTTATCTATTATATTCACCCAAGTATGTCCAACAATGCCCATTCATAATTTGATAATTTAGGATACTTATCCGCTTTGATTGCATTTTGAATTACTTTACAGGAATAATATTTTTTACAATTTCCGTCCAAGATTTTTTTATTCTGAAAAAAATATTTATCAATTAGATAATACAGTGATAAAAGAAAAAAATGGTAAACTTACTCGCAAAGTAGTTTCAAGAAGTGATAGAAATCTTCGTGTATCATCTCGATTCAATAATGGTAAACGTGTGTTGGGAACAAATTCATTTAAACTGGCACGTTTATATCGTCTCGTATAGACGAAACCTTGAAATGGATAAATTTATATTCACACATGTACAATTTTCATTTACTTACCATTTGGCCAAGTGTTGAATGTTCTGGCAAATGTAAACAATAATGGTATCAATGTTAATGTATAGATTATAGTATTCATTAGTGTTTGATAGCCAATTCTTCGTGCATTCATAATAACATCGTGACGTCGTTTCATAATATCATTTAATGAATTATTATCATCAGCATTTGGTTTATTCTGCTCTGATTTCGGTTGATTTGAATAAGTCATTAATTTCTCATCTTTACCATCATTAACATCGTTCATCGAACGCATTGTAGTAATGTTTGCAACATGATCTGAATTTTCATGACGTTGTTGATGAAAATGATGATAATGTGAGTCGACTGATGAGTTAGACACAAAAATCACGACAAAAACATTGAATACAAATAATAAATTTAACTGCCAAATCATTTTTTCCTATATATTCTGTCTTTGAATCCAAGTTCTTAAGTTCGACACGTATCCTGGATGCGGACTGGACAATGAATGATTATGTTGATGCAAAATCCTGACGATACCAAAAATCGTACACATGAAAAAAATATCCATTTTGTTTGGCCGGTTGGATGATGATCTCGGTTGATTGCTTTCATGCTGTAAAACTTAAAACATTCAACTGGAATGCTTATTCAACCCAAACCATTCATCCATCCAATCGGCCAATCAGTAACACACATTAAAACGATGATGACAACAACGACCATGATAGTTATGATGATGAAACAAATGAGACCATTGTGATCATTGAAGTGAGAACCTGGTTTGTTTCTCCTAAGATTACCATTCAAACAACTTCGATTGTTTCAAATTTGAATATATACGATAATGATAATTGAGAGTCGAATGAAAAAACAATAGAATGTCCTATTGAATGAAATGAAGGCCATCATTTTATTTTTTAATATACATGGAATTCTTTTTTCTCTTATCATCATTATCATTATTTCTTTTTTTAAAGAATAGATTCATCAAAAAAAATCGGTGTCAAATCGGTTTGTATTATTTTTTCAGATAAAAAAATGGAATAAAAATAACAATAAATTATCAAAATATTTACATCGAAAAATAATTTTGTTTGATAATTAAAAAAAACAAAAAAAAAGAGATAAGTATCCAATCACTTTAAATTAAAGTGAGCAATGATTTATGATTTAAAATGAATCGACGAAATTGTCTAGATCCTAATGTTGGACAATTTCGAAATTCTTTATTACAATCTTTATTAGCAAAACCTACTTTGGCAGCATTTATATAAAATTTGATCGATTCTTTACTTTTTTGATTCAATGAACTCCAAGAATCTACATGTTTTTCAAGACTGATGAGAAAATTGAAAAAAAACATTCAATGATATTTTGTTTTAATAAAATTAATTACTTACTTGAGTACATCCAATGCATTCACTGAGAATGTTTTGAGCAATTTATTATGTGAAATAATTTTCTGATGTATTTCGCATACTATGCGTGATTGGCATTCACTATCAGTAATCTCATATCTTCGCAGTCCATTTCGAATGACTGAATAGATATCCCGTAAAGAGGTATATAAAAGATCCATTCCTTTGATAGATTTTTCCATCTGGCCATCCTCATTTCCACTCTCAGCACCTGTTATCATGTTATCAGCTAAATGATTTGATTCCGTTGATGATGAATTATTATTATCCTTATTATTAGATAATGTTGATGATACTGCTGATGTTAACTCTTCGATGTGATTGACCATTTCATTTTCTAATTTATCTGGAATATTTGAAAGTTCAGAAATTGATGCTTCATTCGATGTGACTACAGGTTGACCATATCGTCTATTCATTACTACTCGAAATGTTTTGGCAATACCACGCATCATATTCAATTGACGTCTAATTGGTTGATTAAGAATGTTGGTCTGATTTTCTACAATCAACAACAAATTCAAGAAGAATAATGAATTTAGGATTAATTCATTGAAATGAATTACCTGAATTTATCATGTACAAAGGATCAATCAAAGATTGTATAGGTTTGCCATTAGTTAAACCAGAGACCACAGAAGAAAAGACATTGAATGCTGATGGCAAACCAGCCATTGCCACTGGTGTCATTAGTAGTGATGGTAATAATGGTATTGTGAATAAAAACGCTGCTAAGGCCAATGGTCCAGAGAAGATGGAAGGAAACAAATGTTGACTCTGGATGAATAAAACAATCGCAATATAGATAAATAAATTAATAAAATAAATTCTTAAATAATACTTGTCGATGAACTTGAAGTGGTTGAGGTGCGATAACTGCAAATTCATTTGGAACAAAGACAGGATGAATTTGTTGGCGTTGAACGATATGTGCACATTTGACTGAATACCATATTAGTGTTAGATGGATGAAATTCAATACGAAGAAAAAAATAATTCGTTTTAGATTCATTTTCATTAGCTTTCACATTGCACGTGTAAATTAATCATTAAAAATATCTATTATGATCAATACTGCTAAGTGACAATGGTGAACATTTGAATTCGAGTTTGGTTTAGAACGTTTCAAACTATCAAAAATAAATCAATCTATATGGAATGAAAGTTTAAAACGGAATGATTACCATTGGGCAATAATTTTGCCTTTTCCTTCCATCGAAAGACCATCATATGACCATCGATGACAACCCCATCATTAACCTAACATTCAATTGATGCATAAAATTTATCGAATTTTCTTCTTTGTTAAGGAATAAAGAGAAAAACCGAGAAAAAAAAGAGAAACGAATAAATCCGGTAAGTGAAATGAAAGAGTAAAATCTAATCTTCATTTATGTGATAGAAAGGGGTTGATTGAAAGAGAGATTGACAGAAATCACTAACTGACTACTTTTTGTTTCTCCATTTCGATTTTCAATTTTCAGTAGATAGGTTCATCAATTCGAATCTTTATCGAACGAAAAAAAGGGAAAGAGAAAACATAAATATTATCCAGACATACATTTTTTCCCGTTTGTTTTCAACAAAAAAAATGGATAAAAAGGAAACCAGCAAAATTTTTTTTTTTGTTTTGTTTCGAACTTGTTAACAAGCAAAAATAGACCTTGTCAGTTTAATTGAGATTTTGTTAGTGATATTATTAGCCATTATAATCAAATCTTGTTTATTTTTTCTTGTATGAAATTGTGAAAATACAAATATGGACATATATTAAAAGGTAATTAGTTATTAGTTTTGTTTATTGACATTTTTTTTGTTTCAAAGCCGGATTAAAATGATTGTGTTAATTCAGTAAACAATTCATCAAATTCAATCGAATGGTCAAGATCTTTTTTTAATGTGTGTGTTCTTAAGGTTGTGGTCATATATTTTTGTATAGATGTAAGGAACAATATCGATAACAAAAAAGCTATGTAATATTATCCATATGACAATTTCAATTATAGAAAATCATGATACCGAATTAAAGAAATAATAATAATATTGTTGTGAAAAGTATTATGTAAGCATGTAAATACAATTTTAATTAAAAAACAAAAAAACAAAAAAAAGAATAATTATAAACAGGATGGTTAGCGTGAAAAAATAAAATAAAATAAAATTTATATTTGTCCAAATAACAAGCTTGTGAACAGCAACAAGTTGTGGTGTTGTTGTTTAGATTGTGTTACTGTACGGTTAGGTAAAGGATCGGTCGGCATTTGGTGACCTCAATTAATCAAATAGCGATCGATTAGTGATTAACAAAAAAAAAATTATACCTCACTCTTTTTCGATACACAGTAATGATTTTTATCGTGTTTTAAAAATTTTACCCATTCTCTCTCCCTCTCTCTTTGTACTATTGGTAAACAAGTTGAATGAACTTGGGCTTTATTTAGATCAATCAATGTAATGTTTTCACTCTTATTCAATCTACCTTTTTTTTAATAATAGTAACTTTGAAATTTACTTAAATTGATGTACATCGTAATAAATATGTCAAATGACGCAAACAAACAATGAAAATGAAAATATTTTTCAATCATATTTTGACAAGTTGACAACTTTTTTTCTTTTCATATACTGGATAGGACATTATTCCAACGATTCGCTCTTTCGAGGTCGTGGTCATTCGGTAATAATGATGATGATGATGGCTTTGATTTTAAATAATGATTTCTCATTGTCATTGATGATGAAAAAGGATGAGAACTTTCAACTGAATCATCGTCTCCATCCTTATCTGGATCTTTTATCAACAATTGATTACCATAGTTTGGCACCTCGGTATCGATAAATGTTAAATGAGACATTTTAAAATCTTCAATTTTCGCTTTCTTTTTGAAAATTTGAAATTTCTTTTTAGAATCAATCGTTTTTGCTGCATTTGATGATGATGATGATGATGAATGGGAATTTTTCAGCTTGCTAATTATATTAGACGAAAAATTTGGCAGGCTACTATCATCGCCACTGCCAATATCAATTGAAGGATGATGGCCCATATCTAATGATGGTGATTTAGCCACCAGGTGATTGATGTTAAAATCCTTAAAAATGTTATTTTTGACTGATTTGCCATTAGATGTTGATGGTTCGATGCCTGAAATCTTTTGATGATCGTCATTGTTACTACTGTTTAAGTTTTGACTATTTGTTGCATGATTAGATTTCCAATTATTTCTAATGAAATCAATGAAATCATTGGTTGATACTGCCGAATGACCATTGGAAAGGTTGTTGATCATTGCGGTTGGATTGTTGGAATTGGGTAGCTTTTCATCTTTTTTGCTGTTAGATTGATGATGATGAGCGTTCTTATTATCTGATTTGAAGCTCTGTTTATTTGTCGATGTTGATGTACTAGTTTTTTTCTTTTTTTTCATCGAAGATGTGTTAAACTCTTTATGACTGTCAGCATTGATGGATTTTTTTGATTCATCGATACTGTTCGATTGGTCACCATTCCGTATCATTGCCTGAAGCGTGATCAATTTCTGTGCATTGTCTAATAGCTTTTGGAGATCTACATTCGTCTGTGATGTTGGCGTTGGCATCAAATTTGCCTGTAGCTGCTGAGGTTGTTGTTGTTGTTGAACACGATTATTTCGAAGTAAATTATGAAGCGATGAAAAAATAGAACCTTCATTACTGCCAACATTTTTCACTGAACCTGTAAATGCTGGCACAAATATTTTACGAAACAATTCTGATAACACTGAGCTGATCATCATATCAAATTGATAACGCATCAAACGTGGAGCTACCAAAGAAAGTAAAAGCTGATTGAATGAAAAAAATAATCGCCGATTTGCCGGCCTCTTTCGTAGTCTATTGAAAAATATGGAGATTTTATTATTATATTCAAGAAAATGATTATGAAGGTATTTTCGTTGTAGTCTATTATTTGAATCGGCCTTTTTTACAACCTGATGTGAATGATGGACATTTGTGTTGTTTGCATAAATATGATGATGATGAAAAATGTTTGGATGAAAATAGTAATATTCACTCTCTATCGGCATTGAAGCATCATGATAATTTATGAGGATTACTGCGAAAATAATTGACACAATAAGTATATTGCCTGGAAAAAAATCAAAATGGCATTTTATTATAATATATTTCGGGTTTTTGTCGTTTGATTATAAATCGGTCAGTTCAATAGGAAAAAAATCCTTACCAAATCTCATGATAAATCCCTGATATTTGACGGTAACATCTTGACGATGTCAATTTATTTCGAACGGTGTCTGTTCCTTAACGTCATAAGTAGTAATGAAAATCAATCATACAATTTCATGGTGTTTTCTAGTATTGATCGGTGAATCAGATCTTGTTATCTGTCATTTTTTGTTTTCAATCTCAGTTTATTTTGAAAGAGAGAGTTAACAAGAAGCCCCAAATATTTAGGCACTCATTGTTTCAATTCTCTTTTCTTTATCATTACTTTTCATAGATCTGATCTTCAATCATTATTACCTTCATAGTTACCAATCACGAATAGGTAATATTAAAAATAGTAACCGAGTGCCAACATTCAATTTGATTCGATATTATTAAATTGATCATCTTCCATATAGATCGACATGTAGATTGTATGTTACTGTTGTATTGTTATCAACCGTCAATAAATGTATTCAAATCAAGTTGATTATGGTTTTCTTTTTCTGTGCAATTCATTTGATAATTTTCATAATCTCAACAGAAAACATGACAATCGGTATGGTTGTACATCTATTGTATAATTGCATGTTCTTCATTTGAGAAGCACAATTTTCAGCTTAATGATAATTCTATTTCTATAACCAAATGTTAATGAAATGGTTGTGATCTTGTTTTATTTTTAATCAATTGATCTTAATCAAAGATGATATTTTAATTAAATTAAAAGATTCAAGATTTAGTTGATTAGCTATCTCCTACATTATATATTTTGAAAAAATGCATGAATAATGAGTGAGAGTGTGATAATGATAGATTGATATCGAACATTGGTTAATAAATGATTGGCCATCGACCTAGTCAATCGATCAATCTATAGATATGATTACGAGGAGGATAAGTGAAACTGGAAAAGTTGTTTTTTTTGAAAAGTCAATTTTATTTCGATTTCTTTATTGTAAGCAAAATGATTTCAAACGATAACACAATTTGGGGATAATTTACATAAAGTTATGGGCATCGTATATCATAAAATGATTCTTAATAATAGTATTGAAAATATAATGAATTTTTTTCTTTATTTACAATTATACCCAAATGAATGAACCTTGGTCATTGATTTATCATACTTTCTTTCTGAATACTCCTTGAATCCATACACGATACATTTTTTTCTTATTGGCACGATTCACCTGTAATCGTCTGTCCACATGAAGATTGATTCTAGTGAAAATCTTCGTTTCGGTAAATAGTAGGTCAACTTCATTTTCTTCAAAAAAATAGGCACGAGTACCATCACCTCGAACATAAAATCTATCCTTTATACATCGTCCTTTATTGAAACGGATCTGTGCCATATCATAGTGGCCATAATCACGGAATAGAATTATTCCATCCGGTTTCAGATAAGGAACCAGATTCAAAATGACTTGACTATGGTGTTGTGGGTCAATGGCCGATAGAACAAATATCATAGTTATTATATCCAAACTTTCTGGCATCAATGGTGATGATTTCCAGTCACTTGTTATGTCTTGAACAAAGGCATTGCAACGATTTTCATCATATAAAGGATTCTCACGAACCAATTTCACTGCTTTTTCGGAAAAATCACAACAATAAATGAACAAAGATCTATGATTATCGATTTCCAGTAAGGGAAATACTGTGTTGCCTACACCACAACCCAATTCAAGGATAGTTTTACTTGTTTCATTCGGCGTAAGTTCAGGGAATTCAGTCAATATCCAATGTCGATCTTTGAAGAATTTATTTTCATGTTTTTCATAGAAATCATCCCAATATTTGAAAGCATTTGTTTCGAATTCCAAAGCTTTTTCATTCGGAACTTTGACAAGAGAATTGGATTCAACTTTTTCAACAATATCTTTTCTAAAATCTTCATCCCACACTACATTGTCCCAAGCATTATGAGTAAAAATATCAGATTCTTTATCCAAAAATCGGGTCCCGAATTTGGGACGTTTATCATCGTCCATAAACAATTGTTAAGAGAACAATAGCAATATCTTTATTGATAAAAACATCAATTTAAATGTAAAAAAAATGAGAAAAACAATTTGACAAAATACACGTGCTAGCAAGATTTGTTTGGATAATTAGGATAATATCAACTGGAAATAAAAGTAATTTGAATAGCCACCGTTAGATGGCAGAAACATTTTTTAATTTCAAACATGATTTCCGAATCGTTTGATCGCATCTTCGAATGTTTTTAGTATTGGTCCAATCTCGATTTTATTACCCATTTCATAACTAATAATGAATAAAATAGCATTCGATTCAATTTAAATCATAACACATTTTAATCATACTCACAGTTCATCTATAAAATTTTTGGTACTTCGTTTTCGTCGACGTCCGGCCGTCAGATTAATTGTTCCTTGTGTCATCATCGTTGTCATCAATGTTCCCAACAATGGTATCAATAGTGTGCCAAAACCAATGACTATGATCAAAGGTACAATCCAACTATAATCAGATTTACCGGCTACATCTCCATAATAGCTTTTGATTTAAATTTTAAGAATTAATGATTGTGATAACCAAAATTCAATTGAACTTACCCATCAAGATAACCACTATAACCATAATTATCATAGCCTCGTGATTTGGATTGTTGCATAGCTAACATATGAGCTTTAAGTTTGGATATTAATTTGTCAGTAATTTGGGTGAATGTAGCCGTTGAATTAATATTATCCGAATGAATCATTGTTACCATCGATGTTGTCATTAATAAAAACAAAATCCAAAACATTATGAATTTTCGGAAAACTTTTTGAATTTATAGTTGTAAAATGTAAGAAAGTCGATTGAAGAATGTGAAACGTGATAAAATTGTTTGTTCTTTTTAACCGAATAAGTGAAACCGTTTCTTTTCATTTAATTTAAATTATCATCATTATTATTATTATTTTAAAAAATTTCAAAACATTCAAATTTGAATATTATGTAGAGAAACTTCGCTTTTCACATTCTATTTCTAAGTTTTATTTCTTTTCTATTTTTTTTCAAAAAAGAATTTTCATTTTTTAAAAATACAATTATTTTGATCATTGAAACAGAAAATTCGTGCACTAATTATTATCAATGTTGCTATCATCACTCAGCCATGAATTCTTTTGAATTCTTATAATGATAGAAAAAAAGAACAGGATGCCTAATAGATTGAATTGATTGATTGTTCTCTCACGGATTTTATACCACATAAAATTTATCAAGAAAAATTATTTTCAAATTAAAAAAACGGATTTCGATTTTATTATTTTCTTCAAAAAAAAATTAATAAAAATTCATTATTATTTCAATTAAAAAAAATTACAAAGAATTTAAAGTTTTATTGATATTCATCATTTTCATATTTGACAATTGTTTCTTCTGGATTTGATTCCGGTTGATAAATCGATTCGATGCAACAATATATGTTAGAAACGTACTGAATTGTGGTATTATAAAACTACCCATTGTAGCCAATAAACTGACGGCAAGAATTTCATAGATATTTGCATTGGTATATTGACTTCTTTCGGGCAACAAAATTTTTGTTCGTTCAATATTTGGTGATTTTGATTGTGCCGATAATGATCGAATTTGTATGGATGAATCATGATGATCAATGGGACAGCCAAAAGTAAAAAACATTGGAAAGCATATGGTAATCCAGAAAAAATTCATCATTTTTTAAAAATTTGTTTCATTAAACTTTTTTTTTCAAATCGGTTGGATACCCAACGAATGGTTGTTAATGACATTCGTTTAAATACTATTCTCTCTCTCAAAATGTCATCGTATTGTTTTTTCAAGTTAATTAAAAATTTTTTTTCTTTGATTCATAATAAATACGCCTTAAAATTGGTGTGAAATTCATAAAAAGAATAGAATGACAAATTGGAGAGAATATTACCTATCACTTTTGAAAAAAAAACTTTTTAGAAAAGTGTCTTGAAAACAATTTGATGATTGAATTGAATTCAAGTGAAAAATTCCATTTCATTGAAATGAATGAACGATTTCAACCTTAATTTTTCATTTGTATACAAGAATGTTCCGGTCATGATCATTGGGTTTCATTGTTGTCAGGTATGAAAAAAAAAATTTTGATATCATTTTTTTAAAGGTTAGTCGTCATCATAAATTGATAATGATTTTGACAATCATCATTTTTGATTTGCTCATCGTCGTGTAATCATTTAGCTCAACAATCATTTTTCATTGATAATCATGAATTTTTCAATTAGATCAAAATTTTTGATAATATTAATTATATTTAATTTATGGTTTGTAACATCATTCAAATATATTATGACACCAGATGATCTTCGTCATCGTGTTGAACATCAATCAAAATTGTCATCAATACCACCGAAAGAAAAACTTCAAACAGCCAATTCGAATCTATTCTATATTGAAGAAGGTGGTGATACACATTCGATGATTACACCAATGGTCGATTATGGTCATCATCATGGCATACATAACAATGGTGGTTATAATATGGCAACCGAAAAGAAACATTCGAAATTTTTTTCCGAAGAAATAAGTTTCGTTATAGCCGTTGTTACGTTGGCTGTTTTTCTTTGTTTTTTATCGTGAGTACATTTTTCAAATTCTATTTTTTTCAAAATTCAGGATGATTTTTTTTTGCAACACCTCCACAATCTTCAGATCGGTTTTCATACCTTTAGCATTTCTATTTTTCTTCAATGGAGGTTTACTTCCGTTCAGTGGCGGTCTTAATGGCTTATTTCCAATATCAAATACGATCACTGCTGGTGGTGGTATTGGATCTATGATGGGAAAACGAAGACGAAAAAGATCATCAACGATAAATGATCGAGACACAAATATATTTGATCAATATTTTGATCATTTTTATTCCGCAATGAAAAAATTCGAATAATTAATTTTAAATTTTCAAAACAAAAACATTTATTTTATGAATTTAATAACCATTATTTTTTTTAATTTAAAGTAAAAAATTATTAACATATCACGAATATGAAAACATAAAACTACCTGTTGATGTTAATCATTCAAACGATGATTGTTTATAACTTGGCAATTTTGTTTGTCGTGCCCGATTTATGGCATCTAATAAGGTTTCACGATTTATATAAACAGATTGTGGTGATGATTGAGAAACATCATGGTCCATTCTTCGATTCGGTATACGAAATAGATTAATTATCGGTTTAACAACCATACCAAATGGTAATGTCCAATATGCCACCTCTAAACTATGTAATATGGTCACTAAAAGTGCTGGATCCGTTACGAACGAAGTGATTGTACTGAATAAACTTTGTCCCTCTTTTTTATCGATCATCGATGTGAAATCACCCATTCTTTTAACTGGTAAATTTGAATTTTGATACAATTGTTGTTGCTGATAATATTGTTGTGGTTGTTGTTGCTGCTGCTGTAATCGTCGGCTTAGAAGAATTGATGCTGAGGTATATAAAAAACATTGTGATATGATCAGGAAAAACAATAAACATGTGATCAATGATTTACAATGTTGATTCATTTTGATGAGTAAACTAATAAAATTTTTAGAAAATATTGTAAATGTTCGTTCAATATTTCAAAATTTTCAAACGTTAAATTTCACATTCGAAATCGAAAAATCTATCCGATCAATGTTCATGTCGATCATAATGTTATCCGGAACATTTTCATTGTGTGTTCGAGTTTGCAATAAAAACGCAAACAAGTCCAAAAAAATAATGTGTTCAAAATCGTATGTAATATTATTATTGTATTTGACAGTTTGTTATTGTTGTTTGACTATAATATACAGTAAACATTGACCAAAAAAAAAGAACAAGAAGAAAAAGAAATGAAAAAATAAATATCCCCTTCCCCCGAATACAAGTCTTCAAATAACGGGTCGAACTGTGTGTGTAAGAAAAAAAAGAAATTAGAACTGGTTTCTTTATAAATATATTTTTTTTCAGTTTCCTTTACCAATTCACATTTCCTATGCTAAATGCAAAATTTGTTCTTCTTTGTATACAAAACGTTCTATCTCGCGTTTCTTCGTCCACTTTTTTTTTTGTTTTGTTTTGTTTCTCAAAACAAAACTTTTCTAATTTTAAGTATTTTGGGTCAAGTCAAAAAAAACCAAATTTATCAATAATAATTATCTTAATGCAATATAAATTCAGCTTCTAATTCAAACTCTATGATGATCTGATTTATGTGTGTTGACGTCCATAATAAAATGTATATATTTTTTTCCCCTCTTTTCTTTTGGATTCAAATTATTTTGTTTGTTTAATGAAATAAAAATCGGGCATCCAAACACATTCAGACAAACGCACACACACACACACAATAGCATAATTCACAGCAAAGTTTTTTCTTTCTTTTTCAATATTTTCAATAACCAAATATGTCGGTCATCAATGATGTCAAATCAAAATATTCAAATTTTTTTTCTTTAAATTTTTTGAATCAATAATCACATTTATAAGAAATTTGAATAAAGTTAATTGAATTTGAATTTGAAAGGAAAAATTATGGGTAAAATGGATTTATGAATGATGAAAATTTTAAATATTTTTTTCTTTTCTTTTTTGAATCAGGAAAACAAAATTTTTGTTGTTATTGTTATTGTGTCTGTTGGAAATATAAATCGGTTTCAAATGGTTAATGTTGATCGATCGTTGCTTTATTTTCGGATGAAATATTTTGTTCGTTGTTCATCATTCGTTGAAATTTTCGCATCGCCCATTCAAACAATTCATCATTAAAAAGATGATGATGGGGATTATAATCATCTTTCTTTGTTGTCGACAAACTTCTACGACGACGGCGACGACGACCAGCACCAGTTGGGAAAAATTGCTTTTGTAATGAGATAAATCATATTTATTTATTTATTTTTTTCATTTTGAAATGTTTGGTTGTTACACATTTAACTTACCTGTACCACGTAGATACCAATCGGTATAAGTGGCATTATTAATGATGATAAGCCAAGCATACCGATTGTTGGTAAAGCAATCAAAGCTAAATAAATAGATTAATGATGAAACAAACTTAATTTATTATGATAAAAATAGTATACCAATGATAATTAATGGATCAACCATGAATGATGCGGCACGTTCATTTGAATCGATTGAAGTTTGAGTAACAGGTATTAATTCGGGTGCTTGTTGTTGCGTTTGAAATGGTAATTGTTGTTGGCCATTTGTGACCATAATATATTTTCCCGGTGTACTACTTTGCGATGAATATCTTTTAATATTCGATGCGATTGAAATCGGTATGATTAGTGAAAAATAAGTAATCAATATCACGAATAAAAATGATAGATAATTGTTGGATATCATATTTTTTTGGTATAAATTGTAACGGTAACGGTTTGATCAAGTCGAGTATCATAGGCAAAATGAAACGAAAGGTTTTAAAAATTGAAGCAAAAAAAAGAAGATTCTTAGCGAGAAAAATTTTCTTTTAAAAAAAATTTATTTTTCTATTCATTATGTATTTAATTAGTTTTTCTCAAAAATATTGTATTAATTAGAATAAAAATGATGACAAAAATTTGCATGGTGTTAAACAAGCCTTATTGATCGTTCTAATTAACGGTCATCCAACACTGGTAATATTGTTCCACATTGGTGACAATATTTTCCATATCAATTGTTGTTGCATCAAATCACTGCTGTTCCCATTTTTTACTGTTGCAAATGGTGGTTGAATTAGACCTTGAAATTCGATATCGACATTAAAGAATATGTAAACAAAACAAAAAACAACAAACAAACAAACAAAAATTTACCAATTGTTTCAGCAATTTGTATGATATAATAAACGCTTTTCAATCCGGATGGTATCATCAATAATATAGTCAAAATTGGAATAAACATTATGGCAATCGTTGTAAGCAACCAATCCGAAATAAAAGATTTATTACGTATGATCATCATATGTCTACGACGACGATTGTTGTTCATAATGGATGGTGAAGAAATTTTATGATTATGCATTAATTTGGAAAGAATGTTTCTTTCATTCCAATTGACAAAGGGATTAACATAAATTGGTTTTTCAATTATCTTATCGATGTTACTATTTATAGCGGATGAGGAAGATTTTGTAACCATTATGTTGGATTTTTTTTCCGGATATTTTAAGAAATTTCGTTGAAATAGACAACAAATCAATTGAATTTGATTGTTTGAATAGAAACACAATAGTATGATTACCATCATTAGGAAATGATCAATGGGCATTTTTTCTGTAATTTATCAATGATTCAACACAACATCTAAAAACTAATGATTGAAGCAACCGACTAGATCAATGGTTTTTATTTCATATTGTCGATCATTATCGACGATCGAAAATTCGAAACCCAAAAATTCAATCAAGGATGAAATGATTTTTTTTACAAAAAAATTTTTTTCATCATTATCCATCAATTGTTGTTATCAGAATTATATCATTTTTATTATAACCATAATAATTTTATCAATTTTATCAAAAGCTTGAATGATTTTAATTTCATATAAATTGTTCATTCATGTTGTTTGCCGATTTGTTGTTGACGTTGTTCAGAATCATGAGGATAATTATACTTGTCCATAGCTTTATTGTAAAGGTGTAATAATAATGGTCCTGTTTGTGATGATGATGATGATGATGAAGTTGTCAAATCATTTCGTCTCCAAATATTCGCCATGTTATCCATTGCCATTGAATTTTTATCATCTATCCTATAATGACCATAAGGAAATGCTAATAAAAGTTCTGTATAGATCAGTAAAACAAGATCCATATAATTTGGTTAGCGAAAAAATTAGGCTACCTTTTTCCACAAAAAATAATCCCAATGTAAATAATCGTAATAGAAAATAGCCAACACTGAATGATAGAGCCATTGGTACAATGCCATTCATGAGATGTGGTGCTAATGATAATGTTTTATAATGATTTATATATTCTAATGAATGATGGTGATGAATTTATTACTTACCTAATAAGATTGGATCGATAGGTTTTCCGGGCATAAAACGCATTCCATATGGATTCGGAAAAGAAAATTTTGATATTGGTGGTGGCGCAGCAAATGTAGACATCATATTATAATTTGGTACCATACGAGAGCTAATCGGTTCATTTGTTATGTTTTCGTTCGGTGCCCAACAAGCAAAAATTGACAAATTTATTATGATAAACACATATGGTATTATTTTATTCATTTTAATAATTTAGATTCGCTTGTTGTTGTCAATTTGATATGTGATAAAGAAAAAATGATCAATTTTTTAGTCAAAACAACGGTATTTATAAGATTTTGTTTGATAAAAAGGTGTCATATTACTTAAATTAAAAAAGTGTTGATACTATTTTCGACATCATTGTCATTGTCAAAACATTATAATTGATTCAGCATCCGGTCAATATGATGATGATCAAACTAATGTGTAAACATCTGCAGATGTCTTGTTGAATAAACAAAACGATTAATGTAAGTATATAAATGGATGCTCTAGTTTTTTATTTTTGAAAGAAGCTATTCAGTTTAGATTTTTTCATTATTCATTGATTTAAACAAAACAAAGACAATGTCCATTTGGTGTATTTCTAATGCGATCATGACCGCATTTTTTTCCATGGCTACATATGTTCAACATAATGATGATCATCCGGTTTTTTGGATGCTTGTTTATGCTTTACCTTGTTTGATAACCTTTTCAATGATGATTGATTTCAAAATATGTCACACAATTTATATGCAACGATTTTTATTATTGTTATTAAATCTTTATTTAATTTTTTCCATTTATCTTTTTATTCGTGCTTTATTGGTAATCATTGAAAACAATGATTACAAACTACTTGATTATCAGGAATGTAAAGAATTATTTGGTATTATCATCGTTGAATGTTGGCTAATGCTTTGTATTTATGTTATCAATTTACGAACACCACTCGAAGCATGGATGACTTGGATATCAAAATTGGTCATCTTTTTATTCAGTATTTCACCAATATTGCTATGGATCTATCATGGTTGTTTCGAGATATTCATGCCAAATTCAAACATTACCGATAAATCAAACAATTTTTCAGTTACAATATAGAGCCGCCATCTATGATTATATGGCATAATTATAACAACGAGGACTTTGGAGAGTAAAAGATATCATCGTTTTTTTTTGTATCATTAAATATTTTTGTTGTCAAAGATATATTATCAAACTGTTTTTATACAAAATGTTGCCAATTATCAGAAACGTTTGTTCCAAGGTATTATTTTGATTATATTTTTCTCGAATAAATCTATTGTCATTCATTCTTCTTGATAGAATCTTAATGTTTTAAATCAATTATGTAAAAAATCTGTACAAATATGTACCCAGCGAACTATAACTTCATCTCATTTACCATTGACTATGTTCAGCGAAGAAGAACTTGCGTTTAAGGAATTGGCCGAAAAGATTTCTAAGGAAAAAATTGCACCATTAGTTAGTAAAATGGACAACGAAAATAAACTCGATCCTGAAGTCATTAAACTATTATTCGAAAATGGGGTATATAGACGATTTCTTATTTCATAATCAAAGTTTTAAAATACTTCATTACAGTTTATGGGTATAGAGATTGATCCAAAATATGGTGGCACTGGAGCATCATTCGTATCGGCTATCATTGTTATCGAAGAACTTGCTAAAGTTGATCCATCAGTCAGTGTATTTTGTGATGTTCAGAACACTCTTGTTGCTCTTAATTTCAAATATTATGCATCAGAAGAATTGAAAGAAAAATATTTTCCTAAAATAGCTCAAAATACGGTAAGATTTATTCATTATGTTTCATAAGTTGAGATTTGTTTGTTTTGTTTTAGGTGGGTGCATTTTGTCTTTCAGAAGCTGGATCAGGTTCCGATGCATTTGCGATGAAAACCAAAGCCGAAAAGAAAGGCGATTATTATGTGATTAATGGAGAAAAATGTTGGATTACAAATGCAGAACATGCCGGATTTTATGTTGTTTTTGCTAATGCGAATCCTTCTATCGGATACAAAGGTATTACTTCATTTGTTGTTGATCGTGATACACCTGGTTTGTCCGTGGCTCGACCTGAAAATAAATTGGGCATCCGAGCATCCAGTACATGTCCTGTGATATTCGAAGATGTAAAAGTTCATGAATCACAAGTGTTGGGAAAAGTTGGCCAAGGTTATAAATATGCAATACAGACGCTGAATGAAGGTAGAATCGGTATTGGAGCTCAAATGCTTGGTCTGGCCGAAGGAGTGTTCGATCATGCTGTCAAATATACTCTTGAACGTAAACAATTTGGTCAAAGCATTTTTGAATTTCAGGTTTGATTTATGATTCAATTATTCCATTATGTAATTTTCAAATTGTATTATCATTTCATCAGGGAATGCAACATCAGATTGCCAAAATTGCTACCGATATTGAAGCTGCCAAATTGTTGGTTTATAATGCAGCAAGATTGTCCGAAGCTGGTCGTCCATTTATAAAAGAGGCAGCAATGGCAAAATTATATGCTTCCGAAGTGGCAGCGACAGCCAGTTCTAAAGCAATCGAATGGGTTGCTGGCGTTGGTTTTACGAAAGACTATCCATTTGAAAAATATTATCGTGATGCAAAAATTGGTGCCATTTATGAAGGAACATCGAATATTCAACTAAATACTATTGCCCGTTTAGTAGCCAATGAAATCAAGGAAAAAGCATAAATCAAATCATTTCATCTTATGTTCTACACTAAATAATTCAATTGTATTCTGTCTATTTTATTATAATAGAATTTTTTATTTTATTTTCTCGTTAAATAACAAGCAAAGAAAAGATGATTAAAACAAATCACAATCTCTTTTTTTTCTTTGTCGAATTAATGGTGTAATTAAATGTCTTTTTTTTATCTCATTGACTAAACAGTTATTTATGAACAAAAAAAACCTTCAACTATTATTCGTTACCGTTGTAGGCATTCGTTAAAGAATTGAATAAAGTTTTTTTCTGGGTTTGATGATCTATCATATAATAGTTGAGGAAGTCTATCTATTCCCATAAGTTTCCTCTATTTTTTTCCCTTTAGTGTTAATTTGATATAGTTGAAACATTTTCTTTAGGATTTAGGACTACGTTACTATAGCATATATATTTAAAGAGATGGATACATTTACAGAATCCCGAGGTTTGTCATTGGAGCTCACCCCCACACAAACACAAAAAAAATACACCGACAAACAGTAAACGAGCATTATATTTGCGAAATCGTGATGATGATGATGATGATGATGACGATAACAGCTGTTCAATTTTAGTTTTATGCCAATGGAATAAATAGGAATAAAAACTATTTGAAAAATAAAAAGATTCAGAATAGAGGATTCAAATTATAATAAAAGTCTCTGGAGAAAATATCGCTCTCTTTCTCTTTTCTTTCATTTTACTTTTATTCTTTCTCCTATTTGTAGACCGAATTTGAAATCGGGAAAAAAATGTGCCTAGATTAAAAGTGAAGTTTGATATTTATGGGCAAAAAGATTAAAAGATAAAAGTGAATATAATTGGAAAATTGGAAGATAGGCATACACATATAGATAAATAAACATTTTCAAATAACATCATCATCAGACAGCCCATCAAAATATATACTCTTTTGGTATATAATAATAATGATAATAAAAATGTTTAGGCACGACCATGTTTTTTTTCGGCAATGGCATCAGCTATTAAAAATCAAAATATCATTTATTGCTATATATATTGAATACAGTTGTGAATATACTCGATTCGGGAATTAAATAAAATTGAATGAATCAATGATTGACGTACATAAACACACACTTGATTCATTCATACTAAATACATTCGAAAATTAACTCTTGATGGTAATATAATGAATTTATAAATTAACTTGATGATCACATAAACATTCATAAACGTTTGAATCAAAGAATAATAAATGATTGTATTTGCAAGAAAATAATTCTATAGAAATATCTATGCATCAAATATATAGGATGATGATAGTATAATGATGATAATTAGCTTTTGATTTTTATTTGTTTGGTTTGAACAAAATTTATGTAGAAGTCTAAAATGATTCTACTTTGTGATATATTATTTGTACACAGAACAAAACAAAATTGTTTGTTATAATCGTTAGTCAATAATTGCCGTTATGGAACTCCCTATCCATCGATTAATCGAAACCAAATAGCTTTATTTCGTGTTTAAATCATAGGACAAAAAGGAGATTGAAGGACCGACAATTCCATTGAGTTATTCATTTCATGAATCATAACAACAATCCACTATAGTGTGAAAGTCATTATTGTTCCAAAAAAAAAACAATATTTATATTTTGATTTGAAAATTTGTATTGATCCATTTAAAAACGAATGACATTATCATCAATATATATTGATTGTACTGGAAAGAAAAACAATTCTTTTTAAATTATTATTATTATTATAACACTCAATCAAATGTCGATGATATATAAAAGAAAATTGTCTTTTATTCTCTACAAATAAAACCGATGGAAAGAGAGCAAAAGTGTTTATTTGTGTTTATGAGAATGGCTAATTTATTCACATTATTCAATGTAAACAATAACCATACATTTTCATATCTATGAATGTATGAATGATTTCCAATTGATCTTGGATTTTTTTTCTTCATACTTTATGGTTTTTGATCCAAGAAAATGAGACAGAGGAAAAAAATATGAAAAAGAAATCGGAAAAAAATGATAAATAATGTCACGCTTGCCTAACTGTGTTGTTGTTGTTGTTGTTATTCTTTCTCCAACTTAGTGGTGGGTACCACAACACCATCAACAACAACAAAAAACAAAAATCAAACAATGAAACATCAAACAATTTGATCAAATTGTGTTCCAAAACATATTATAGAACAAGCGTGTATTAGCTTGTTTATGTTTAATGATGATGATAATAATAACTGTAATATTATGTCGTGACGCTATTCATCCATTCAACCGAATTGAATTTTTAACAAAGAACCAACAACAACAACAAAATATCAAAGGAAAAAAAATTTATACAAAAGATAAAAAAAAATAATATTTTATATTCATAATAATATAGATTTATATTATAATGAAGAGTTGTTGGGTGATTTCTTTTTCATTTGTGTTATCAATTTTATGCTTGAAAAAGCAATTATCATCATTTTATTTTCGAATTGAACAGAATTTTTTTTTGTGTCTACTACCGTATGTTTTTATATGGAAATTATTTGTTTTATAGATAATAATTTTTCATGTTTTTTTCATTATTATTTCATATTTTCAATCAAACATGTTATTGAAGCGATTCAGTTTTTTTTGTTGAAAAAATAATGAAGATTCTCTGATTGATTATGCAATATGATTACATAATTTATAATTCTTTACATTATTTTTTTGTTGTTGTTGAGAAATTTGAATACAATTAACACACCCAAAAACAAAACAACTAACTATCTATTTAATGAAAATTGTATCAATAATTAAATTTTCTTATTTTTTTTTTAATTTCAATGTTGTTGCCAATGATCAAATTCTCTGGTGAAATGATTCTTTTAGCAGAAATCATTTCAGATAAAAATCGCATTCAGTACTAATTTTATTTGGTTTGTTTATAAAACTAAACAGCAAGGCAAAAGTTTTCATTTGAATCTTTATCGTTGAGAGATAAATAGTATAAAAAAATTAATTAATTAACGTAAAAGTGCTGAGTTTTTTTTAATTATTTTATCTTTAATTATTCATTTTTTTCACACAAACCAAAATGTTTGAGAATTTATTCTTGTATTATTAATTTATGCTGACCCAAGCAAAAAAGTAAAGAGTAAAGAAAAGTTTATAATAAATTTCTTCCATTTCTAACATTGTAAATGTTTAGCTATAGTTTAACGATTAATTGATGTATATTACATAATACAATACGATACAATACAATTTCAATGATCCATTTGTCCAATGCAAATTGTGAAATACTTTTATACATCTTATTTATATATCTCAATTTTAGTTAATGAAGATTATTATTATTATTATCATTCAAATGTCCATCCATACAATATTTGTTGTATTAACCATTATCATTTTATTACCAGCAATAATATATAACAACGGGAATAATATTATCAGCTATCATCATTTATTGATGATAATATCTTTCTACAATGAATACAACAAATTGAATCGAACTAATCATTTTAAATGTATTAGTTGTTGAAAATCAATATCACAATGAAATAAAGAAACAAAAAAAGTATGAAAAGAAAAAGCCTATTTAGATGAGAATGACTGTTTTCTTTTCTAAATATAACACTGACAAACTACCGGATAGTTTGATTCAATGATGGATAAAAAAACAAGAGAATAATATGGTGAAAAGAGAATAACAAAGAAAACATACATACAGTTAATAGTTAAGATTCATATCGGGCAAAAAAACACTCATTGATCGAAAAGGTATTATATAAAAACGGTGAATTATTTAATAAATCCTATTCTTTTTGTTTTTTTTTTGTTTTGTTGTTCATTGATCACATTAACCACCATTGATTATTATGGAACATTTTCTTTCTTTCTTTTATTTTTTGTTTTGTTTTGCTGTTATGTTTTTATTTTCCCTATTACAATCCAATGAAACAACATTGTTATTCTTTCTTTAGTTGATTTTTTCATCATTATTACATACGACTTTCATGTGTCTGTGTGTGTGTAAACACAAGCTAGAAACTTTTCCTCTTTTTCAAAAGAAGAAGAAGGAAAAAAAGAATCTGAATAATAGATTATACATGTTTGAGTGTATTGAATTGAATTGAATAGATTGAAAAGAAAAAAAAACCTAAACACTATTAAAAATAATAATAATAATACCTTAATTTTGAAATCATTATTAATATAGGATGACATAATAATACAAGAACGAAAAAAAGATATTGAGTTTTTATGTATTGAAAAGGAATTTGTTTCTATCGATAATTGATAAATTATTGATTGATTTCTTTGCATTTTATTATCATTATTATTATTATTGACAAAAACTATTGATATTATTTTATTATTATTGTTGTTGTTGTTATTATTTTCAATTATTCAGGCAATTCATTTTTTTTTCGTTGAATATTATAACATATATAATGATGACTTTCGATTACGAAATTCTAATCGAAAATAGACTATGAATCTATTGATCGTTATTAAACCGACATCTATTGCTACTGTTAATGGTAATATATTATATCTATAATTTTTTTTTGTGTTTGGATTGTATATACTCTATTTTTAATGTGTAATGTTTGACTTTTAATTATCAATTCAATAACAATAACAAAAATGATGGCTAAATTTAAAAAGAAACGTATAATAAATCTTGAAAAAGTTTTTCACTATGTTTTGTTGTTTGATTACACCCACACACACACATTATCTAATATATAAACTACAAACGATAACTAAAGAATTCAGGAACAACAAATCGAAAAAAATATATTTATGATCAGGAATTGTAGAAAGATGTTGTTTTGATGTAGTCATAAATTTATTTAACTAATAATAATATATTGATCGAATAGAAAAAAAAATCAACTACCAAAATTAATATAAACGAACAAGAAACAATTTTTTTCAAATGAAACAAAAAACAAAAATTATTATTAAAGCTATTATCAATGTCCCATTGGTCCAGATACTTATTATTTTGGTGGTCATCATTTTGAGCATTATCATCATCGTTCTATGCTTGGTACATTTATATAAATGGTTCCCCATCTATAATTGGTTGTCGTTGTTGTTGAGCATCATTTAACATTATCATCATCAACAACATTAACAATCTCATCTTATAATATATATAGGATATTAACAAAAAAAAACCTATCATCATAAGTTCCATTAGTAAGGATTACTTACGTTGTTATGTTGTTCAAATGTTGGTTGATTCTGTGTGTTAAACAAATAAACAATGATGATTATAAAAATAAGAAGGTAAAAAAAAACATTCGAAAAAAATATGTTCGAATGGTTTTTATCCTTTTAAATTTCCATTCATATAATATGTTATGTTTGAAATTTGTTGAGCAACAACAAATTGTATTTCGAATGTTTATTATTTCCGATTTATAGTTTGTTGTTGTCAAACGCAAAAAATAACAACTTTGGTTCACGTAATCAGGAAAATTAGATTTAAAATTATCTAATTTTCTTTCCTTTTTTACCATGTTATTGTTTTATTTTTATGTTTTTTTTCTTCAATTTTGTTTTCAATCTATATTCTCTTTCTCTATTTACAGTTATCTTCCCGAAACTATAAAAAAAACAATGTGAAAACATCAATGAAAATAATGTTTTACTATGTGTTTGTATTTATTTTGTACTTTTCCGCCTTTATTTAATGGTCAAGAATAATGTGATGTGTATGATGTCTGTGATCTTCTTTTTTTTCGCCACTATCAAAATATTTGTCATTCGATTACGTTTGATGATGATGATAGGATTCATATTGAATTGATAGGAAGAAAAAAAGCTAACCGAGCCCATTATTTGCTTCATCGATTTTTTTTATCTATCTATTTTCAACAATCTTATTGGGCCATCAAATTGATTGCATCTATTTCTTATTCTTTTATATTTCTATATTTGTTACTGGTTGCCGATCTTATTTGTTTTGTTTCCCATTTTTGTTTTTGCACATTCCAAATTCTTTATTTTTCTCTTTTGCTTTTCTAATATCTCCAGTTAGAAGAGGCATGATTCAATAATAATCATAATTCGATCTTTTTTCTACTTCTTTTTTTTTCTCTTGATATATTTGAAATGAAAAAAATAGAACTAATACAAATGAATAAATGAATGAATGGAGCGGAAAAAAAGATTCAAATAATATGATCATGTTTTTAGATTGAATCAAAACTAATATGATAATGATGTGTGTGTGTGTGTATTGTGTACATTTGGCTTGTCAACTTTTCAAATAAACAAACAAAACAATGATTCTGGTTGAGTTGTTCTCGAAACGGTTTTGTTTTGTGTTTTTTTTGTTTGATGCTTTCAAATATATATTTGATGTTTCGATTATTGGTTTAGTGTTTGCCTACTGTTAACGATAATGTTTTTTTTATACATTTTATTTCACTATTCTACTTTGTGTTGAAAACATCAATAGTGAATATAAATTTTTTCAAAAAAAAAGTTTGATAAAAAAAAATGAAAAAATGAAATAGAAAATTTAGACATTATATGATGCTATATATAAGAAAATGTATCACTATAATCACTAAAATATGAATATCAAATTATATTCTCTATGTAGCGATGTGTACACCTAGAATAAAAATCATCAACATCAAGAAATCAAGATGAAGAGAATGCCAAAAAAATGGAATGAAATGAAATGAAACTCAAAAAACTAAAGAAACATCCTATTTTTTTTATATCTCGATCAACCTAAATAAAATCGACAAGAATCGATAATGGACTAATATAATAGATACGAATAGGTTTTTATTCTCTCTATCACTCACCCACTTACTCACTCACTTCCTCCATCTACCATCATATCCTACCACAAACATGTGTTTTCAAATAGACAAAAGAAGAAGAAAAAAAAACACCAAAATAAACGACAATGATGATGATCATCATCATCATTTTGATTTTTATTCGCGAACATCAAAAGCAACAACAAAATGAGAAAATTTATTAAGATTTATATTTGGATTGAGTGAACAAAAAAAAATTCTATTATCCGATTTACACATAATATATTACAAGATTCATGTTCTTCTTCATGTGTATAACACTCATATACATGATTTTTATTTTGTCTTGTTTTTTTTAATAATAATAAAAATGTATTATATACATACATAACATGTCGATTTCTTACATGTGTCGATTTATTTTGATTATTATTATTATTATCTATTATATCATTGTCGTATTCGAATGTGTTTTTTTGTCCGTTACCATTAACATCATCATCATTGTATGGATCCAAACCATTTTTTTTGTTGTTTGTTGATAACAACATCATCATTGCACAATGTAATACGACACATGCACTCAAATCTCTTGTTCAAATTCGTACAAATTTATTTTTTATATATTTAACATTATTCTCTCCGGTTGATTTGGTCGGTGTTTTTTGTTGTTGTTATTGTTGTTGTTGTTGTTGTTGTCCACATTTTTGACAACCAAAGAAAGAAAAATTATTCTGTTTGAATCATAATTCATTTGTAGATTGGAGTTTTATTTTTCCTGCAACATCAATGAATTTTTTTTCTTTCTTTCTTTTTTTGGTTGAATAAAAGTTAGATATTTTAACATATTTTGAAACACCTTATTCGATTTAATTTCACCGTTTTTTTTCTATCCAATATATGATTAAATAAAGCATTGATCATCATTATCGTTACAATTTATGTTTGTTTTTTTTTCATTCTTAACGACCACGATAATAATGACATTTTAATTTGGTAAAAATTGAATTAGTTGGGCGTGTTAGTTGGTTGTTAGATCATCTGCTGTCAGTAAATTTTGCTGATGATATATTCTTGCTGTTCAACGATCAATTACCAATGTTAATGTTGTTAGTGGAAGGAGAGGAACCGTGATAATAAATAGCAATTTTTTTTCCCAATTTTAGTTCCATCTTGATCAGATGATGATGAATGAAATGAACTGTGTTCGATTAGAACCGATGACAATCATCATTATTGCTTTTGGGTGTTTACGGTGAACAACAAAATCATTGCGTGTTTCGAACCAAAAAAAAAGAAAAAAATGTTTTTATCCAATTTATCCATTATAATTATTCGATGATGATGAGCTCTTATCATCTATTTATATTGTTAACACTGAACTACCGATTATAATGATATATATGGAAAATAAAAACAGAATTTTCGAGAACAATTTTAAACAATTCCTGAGTGGTTGATTTAATGAATGAAATTCATTTCATCATTGGATCATCAAATTTTTGAATGATGATAATAGCAAATGTTAATCATCGTGTTAATGATCAAATGATTAATGAATGATTTTTTTTATTATTATTCCAATCCATTCAAGGTCAATATCTATACGAAATTATTTTTCTATGATGAAATTTTTTCCTAGAAAAAATGATATATTCATAACAACCTATGATAATTAATAAACTCTTCCACATAGGACACACCATATTTGTTACCCATTCAAATATTGTTCCAGGTAATTGAATCGAAAATTGGTCTGAAAAATTTTTCTTTTATCAATTGAATTCAAATGTATTTTCATCGCCAATTTACTTGATGAGTTTTTCCAACTCAAATTGACATAAAATTATTTTTGGATTGTGAAAATAAAAATAATAATAATAATAAGCTGTACGGACTCCACCCTGTCACTTTCTAGTACTTTTATCATCATCATCATAATAATCATTTTGATCATTCGATGTTCGCGACAGGAATATGCATTTTAAATTTACTTTTGAAAATCAACTACGGTTAATGGCATTCTATAGAGGAGCAGAAACAACAACAAAAAACAGTTATCAACAAAAACTGATGGAGAATTGAACAAAACAAGATTAGATTGCCAAATTTATATATAATCTTTTATAGAATTTATCATTTTGGTTCGATTATTATTATCATCATCATCATCATCATCAATAACAACAACAACAAAAAACATTTTTGATGATGAGTTTAGATTGATTCGAATCGCTTTCAAATGGAATGAAATTGTGTTTGCTTTGAAAAATTTGTTGTGTTCTATCAACCGAAAAAATAGTAGTACTACTATATTTTATTTTTGTTGCTGTACTGATTCTTCCTCTATTTCTTCTTCTATTGAAAAGAAAAAAATCAACCGCAAACTAACCAAACAAACAACAAAATAAAAGCAAACAAACAAAACTATCTACCTATTTTTTGTATGAAACTTTTTTGAAAATTGTTTGTAATTCTTCAATTAATCGACTATTGAATGAGAAATCAAGTGAAAAATTTTTTTCTTTTTCTTTCAGTATCAAAAAAAAAAATCATTGGTGTTATCATCATCATCAAATGTTTTGCATCAACATCATTTTAAAATTTTTATTCATAATTTGATGCAATGAACATTATAAATGTTATGAGTTTTATTCCCTAAATGAATTGAAAGTAAAAAAATAAATTCATGAAATTAATTGAATACACGGAAATGGAATTTTTTTTAATACTGAAAGAAAAAAACCACAATTAATTCAGCCGCAATCACTTTGGGCAATTTTTTTTCTTGTTCTTCATTACTTCAATTGGCTGCAATCAATTAATGATGTTGATTACGGATGCTAAAATAAGATGGTTAAAAAAATACCGGATTCGGAATAATTATTGGGCAAAGAGAAAGAATTGAATTTTCATTTGTCAATGAAACAAATTAAATTCTAGAAAAAAAAACAAAATTTTACATCAAACACATAATTCATATGAATGTCACGTGTTTTATTATCACATTAATACAACAACAAAAAAAAACATCATTAACAACAACAACAACATACATCCGATGTAGCCATTATTGATAAAAAAGATTCTCTTTTTTATCAAATATGTTTTGGTGTGTGTGTAATATATTTTCAGATTAATTTATGTATTGCCTTAAGCAATAATATCAATATCGGAAGCTTTTTTTTTTGCTTCATGTATTTTACAAAAGATTTTTCAAAATAAATAAGCTTAAGTTTTTTTGTTTTGTTAATGTTCCAATGGTTCTACAATGAAAAATTTTGATCTATAAACATAAACAACAACAAAAACACCAATGACAAATTGACAAAGTAAAAAGAAAAATCTACTTGTCACCTAAAAAAGCTATAGAATATTTTTCATCTTAGTCTTTTTTGATTGCTACTCGACATTTGACCGATAATTTTCGAGTACTTTTTGAAAATTGCATGATGAATAAAGATATCATCTAACGGGTATTTTGCACTTTGTTTTGTGTTTATGTTGTTGTTGTTGTTATTATTATTGAATGAATACAATACACAATTGACAAGTTTGTATAATGTATTATTTAAAAATAATTCATTTATTGTCATATTTTTCTTATATAAATTTTGATAAGTTGGTTGGTAGTTGTTAGTTTTTTTTGTCGTCAAGTCAATAACTATAATATTATATCATTGAAATGAAGAAAAAAAAATTTGTAAGCTAAAAAATCAAATGTATTTTGTTAGACATAGATTTGAATTGAGTCAAAATTTCTTCTATTAATGTCAATCAAATGAAACTAAAAGAAATGTCGAATTAAAAACGAAATCAAAAACAACAACAACAAAGTATTACATATGATGAATGAATTGTGATCTTATTGAGATTTATTTGATGGAATATTGTTTTATTGGAAATTTTTTGTTGTTGTTGTTTGTTATGTTTAGTATACTTCAAAAGTCCATCTGTTTGTTATAATGGGGTTATCATCATCATCATCATACTCTATTTAGTTTAGGCCAGATCCCGAGAGTCATTAGTTTATTGTGATGAGGAGAAAAGCTATTCTAGGGCTAAAAATTTTTTTCAAAGAAAAAATAGTAAAAAAAAGACCCGATTATTGTCAAAACTTGAAAATATAAACGGGAGACAGAAAACAATAATGAGATCCTAATCATTAGATCAATAGTGGTGGTGGTGGTGGTGATGGTGAATATAAAAATAAAATTTATGTTATCATTTTGTTTGGTTGAATGAATATGAATACACTCAATAGGACCCTGGTTGATCCTTCTAAATTTTTTTCATTCATTCATTCATTCATCCAATTCAATTGAATTCATTGAAACAACAAACAAATGAATTTAGCAAGTGGCAAATATAAGCAAATCTCATTTACACACAAGTGTTTTAATTTAAAGTACCGACATTGGATTGCTGTCAATTGTTGACAGATTAATCGAATCTTATCCAGGATTGACTAAACCTTGTTAATTATTCACTAAACGAAACAGTTTTTTGTATGCTGGAAAAAATTTCATCAAATTCAGATTTAGATTTAAAAAAAAATAGTTTTTCAATCAAAATTATCATTATTATCCATCGTTGATTATTTCTAAATCCTGTCAGTTCAATAATAATAAACATCATAAACGAATGAGATTCCCATTTGGATTCTCAAATATCAAACAAAAAATAACAATAGAAATAACAAATCATGGCCATATGGCTAGAATTTATTTCTTCTTTTCCTTCATTTTTTTTTTATAAATATCGAATTTGATCTTTGTTGTCAGACAAAACTGAAAATGCATTTATGAAAGTAACAGTGTTTTCAATTGTAACAATTAACTGTCAATAAAGATAACTTCAGCACTGATAAATTGAACACAACAATAATAACAAACAAACAAACGAAAAACGGTAAAAAAAATTAATTTATTTCAAATGAAAAGAATTTCAATGACATATAAATCTGTATAGTTACAATAATGGACAAATACAGTATGAATAAATTGTATCGTCGTATTTAGTCGCCGATTAATTATATGAATCGTGTAGAATTTCATCTTCAACATTGTTGTTTTGAAAACGTTTTTCAATTTCTTTCGGGTTCTTGTCTCGATCATTACAGGAAGAGAGCGAAAGAAAAGATAGGCTGCTTTGTATGAATAAATTCTCATTAAATTGAAATGAATTGCTTTTGTTGTTGTCGTCATCGTTATAATTATTGTTAATGCTGATTATTATCATCATCATCATTATCGTAGCACTAATTATCTCGACCATTAAGATATATGGGGGGTCGACAAGAATAATATTCGATCTGATTCTTGAACAGGAATATAACGTTACACCTATTTCAACAACGACAAATATAGGCTGTTAAAAGTTTTTTTTTGTTATTGTTGAATATTAGATTACTTAGGTTTTTGCTTCCATTTATAATTATATTGTAGTAAAATGTATATGATGTAATGATGGAACAAGTAATAGTGAATGAAATGATGTCCATTAATTTTTTTTTCTCTGTTTCGTTTAAATATTACTATTATTACAAACAAATTTTCAACATAAACGACATTTATTAGGAATCATTATAATTACATTAATTTTTTTTACTCATTAAAAAAAATCAATTGTTCAAGTATTCAAGTGAGTATTATTTGTGTTTGATGTCATCATTTGTTTGGATGGGAAATATAAGATAAAAAAGAAGAAGAGAAAAAAATGAATTAAATAAACTTTGTAGAATTATCGTTAAAATCAAGAGAATTAGAGAATGAATGAACAGAATTTCAAAATGTTTATATAAATATAAGCAAGACATGAATATTTTCTTTTTTTCTTGTTTTTTTTTCTGTTGAATAAAATGAATGCGAAACCACCATCAACCCCCCCCCAAACACACACTATCATCGTTTTTCCGTTCATTGATAATGATGATGACTTTATTGTAAATTGAATAGTAATGTTTTTTTTTGAAACGAAAGTTATGCCTATTGTCATCATCATCATCATTGTTTATGTTGTTGTTGTTATTGTTGTTAATAAATAATCTATTAGCGCCAACTAAACATTAATGATAGTTAAATGTTGTCAATTTAACCACTTTTCTCCCTTTCTGACGTTCGCACTGGTTTCTATTCAAAAACCTTCGTTTCATTTTCTAGCTAATAGCTTTTTTTCCTCCACTCCTTCTCTATTTTCCTCTTTGAATCCAAACGGAAAATACTCAAAAGATCTAATATATTTCATTTTATTCATTCACTGATGTGACTTTTTTTTGAAGATTGTTTTGACCGAATCAAACCTAAACTGAACTGTTTTAGTGTGTATGTCACATTTTTGACCGGTTAACGCATATATTTTCAAATGAAAATATGTGCGTATAAACTGTTCGTATATCTATTTTGTATTGTTTGTCACTGAATGTATTTGGTTGGACTATATAGAGTTTTTTTTGTGTTATTGTAATAGGCCGCCTGTATTTTCTAATGTTTAAGCTTTTTATTTTATTTCGATTGGCGTGCCTGTTTATCATGATTGTAGCCAATCAAATGACTGCATTTTTTGTTATATGCAATTGGCTTGATTGCTGTCGTTGTTATATATGTTTTTATATACGAAAAATGTGAAGAGGCGACAAGACAATCGACGCTTGAAAACAAATCGATAAACGAAATGAAAACGATGAAGCTCTTCGCCCAAAATACTTAACGCCCAGCCCATCATTTTTTTGTCATCGTTACACATATATAGATGGTATAGGGAATCGTTTTTATCATTTCAACAAACTATTGAGCTAAAGAATGATCAAGAAAAAAAAGTGAAAGCTTTATAATGGCCTTTAAAAAGAATTGAATGACTGTGACCATTGAGACCTATGTGAGGTAGCATTATTTGATTTTCATTTCTTTTTTTTTATTCTTCATTTTTTTAAACCTAAAAATGAGGAAATTCATTTTGCCTCTCAAATGTCTATAGGTTATGTCTACATCATCATCATTGCCTCCTTTTTCTTGTTATTAATTGGTCTATTTTGTATTTAAGTTGATATTACACATACACTATTTTTAAAACTATTTTTTTTGCAATTCCATCATACTTTTTACAGAATGAAAATGTTCCAACAACAACAATATAACTACCATTTCAAATGAAGAAATTGTATCATGTTTTTGTTCATCTGTGTATGTATGTGTGTGTGTCTACTCATTCGGATACCGCCATCAATTGTTAAAAACACTTGAAGACGACGACGAATCAAGAATCATTGAATAAATAGAATAAAACGCCCGCTAAATATTCTGTGAATTTAAGTAAAATAGAATAATTCTGTAAACGACTCTATCTTGATATAATAAACGAAAACGAAAAGGCAGACGAATAGATAAACGGGGAAAACTAATATGGCCATTATTGACAAGAATGGTGACCACCACCACCACCGCCATCACAATCGACATCAACAACGTCAACGATATCAAAATAACCACCTTCAACATAATAATCATCAACCAATCGAAACGTTAACATCAACGAAAAGCAATCAAGAATTGAATACATTAGATTCATTGAATATTACAATTGCGAATAAAACAATAACAACAACAACTACATCATTATTAAATCATCATTCAACCACATCACCGTTTCATCATTTAACTGATATGATGAATTATAATGGTCATCAACATGGTTCACAAACACCTACCAATTCTATTAATCACAATCATCATTTAGATCAAATAGATTTATGGAATTCAAAAAATCGAGATAATGATAATCATGAATCATCTTCATCATCAACTTCATCATTATTATTATCAAATACAACAGATTCTTCAACAATGGCTAAATCAATTGCTACGACTAAATCAAATAATCAATGCCAAACTATTAATAATAAATCAATAGATTCACAACAAAATGGTCAGTTACAACAGCAACAATCAAATAGTAGTAATGATAATAAAAATCAACGACTCAATTTTTCCATATCGAATATATTGAGCAAAGAAAATCATAATAATTTGGTAAACAATTTACGTGACAATTTATTAGCAGGTAGGTGATTCGTTTAATGTTTTCGAATCTATACATTGAATTCAGTAGATCAAATGATAACTAATTTATAATAATGTTGTTATTGAAGCAAATCCAATATATTCACGTCCGACAAATCAATTATCATTCGATCCGATGACATCATTATTATCGGCACATTTTCTATCAAATTATCCATTATCAATGTCATCACCGTTATCCACATTAAATGAACAACAAAAATCTCAACTATTACCGTCCATGTTATTTGCCAATGCAAATGCTAATGCTGCTGCTGCAATGGCTGCTGCTGCTGCTGCCGGAAAGAACAAACCATCACCATGGTATCCATGGTCATTAACAATGTCACCAACGACATTATTATCGGGCAATACAAATATTTCGGATATTAATTTCAGTTCATTATTCGCATCGACAAAAGAATCTAAAGAAGGTAAATTGATTTATTAAAAAAAAAATCTATTTTCAATATTTTGAGTTTCGGAAAAAAAATGTTTATAAAATGATTTATTTTGGAAACAACTTTGAAAAAAAAACAATCTATCACCAATTATTGTGTCTAGGCGAGAATTTTTTTCCCGTTCCGAAAATTGATTAAAATCAAAATTAATGATTGCCTGCCAATGATATCACACACTCACACACACACACACATAAGACAAATGTTTCTCCAGAGACTATAAATGAAAATCCTATGAATGTCCATAGAACTAGTCTCAAGAGTTTATTAGACTTTGATGATATGTTTGTGTAACGTTGTATTTGTTACAAAACAATGAACGTGAAAAAAAAGAATCAAAAAATCCTTTTAGTCTATTTGTGTTTTATACAATGTTTATCATTAAAATTTATTTGGATTTTTTTTTTGTTTTGTTTCATTCTTCACTTTTGCTTTTGTTCGTGTTCAATCATTTTAGATCATTTTCTACAGAAATTGAATCGAGATTCAAACAATAAACGAGATTGCAGCGATAAAAGCGATAGTCCTTCACTATTTTCATCATCAAATCCAGGTTCACCATTTGGAGAAAATGCTGGCAATGGTAATGTATCATTAAATAAGTGTTCAATCATCACCAATGATTCCCGTCAACAAGAAATTGAACTTGAAGATGATATTGATTATAATGATTCCGATACATGTTCCGAAAAAGATTCACCAATTCAACGAAATT